CATAGTCAGAAGTGCAGGTTTCCCCTCTAGAGAGAGGTTCTCTGGATATTCCCTGGGAGAGTCAGGCCTGAGTTTCTCCTCCTTCGGGAACGGAGTGTCTGGTAATTTCGCATGGTCTTGGCCATGAGAGGGGCGACTTCCTTCACGATGGGCCTCCTGCTGTTGGGCACTGGAAACATAGCAGGGCTGAGATGGGCACTGGCATGCGTCTGAGTGGCAGGATTCACGCAGCCTCCTCTGCTGTGGCTGCCACTGCTGGTGAGGCGCATTTGGGTTCCTGAGGGGTGCTGTGCAACATGGACCTCGGCTTTAGGCAAGACCCTTGCTGGTGCTGCTGCTGCTGCTGTAAGGCTGCCACCCCTTCTGATGCTCCTTTTGATCGTCCCCCTTGTGCTTTGTCCTCCTCCTGCCCTTCCTTGGGCTCCCTCCACTCCTCTGCATCCTGGTCCTGCTCCCGTTTCCCTTCCTATCACACTCCTTTCATCTCTTGCTCCTCCTCTTTCTCCTGCTCCTCCCAGTGCAACCTTCTGCTTCTGCCTGGGTGCAGGCGCAGTGCTCATAGGGAGAAGCTCACTTTGGCGGGTTTCAGGCTCCTGGGCCCTGGCCTTTCAGATCCTGCTGGTCGTGTCTTGCAGTAGGCGTTCTGGGGCATCCTGAAGCTGCAGGAACATGTCCCACCAGGACTCTTGTTCCTCTGCCTCTTGGCCCTTAAAGTGTCTGTGACAATGCAGTTTCCATAAATGATCTCTCTTTTCAGTGAGCCGTCCATTGCACGTCTCTATGCATCAGAGCTTTTGAGGTGTGCGATTCTCTAGCAGGGGTTGAAGGCCACAATGCGGGATGAAGCTCTCATTATAGATTGTGTCTGGGTTTTTGCAGAGAAACTGGCAGAAGCAGTCATAGAAGGCTGCCTGTTCGCATGATATCCACAGGTGAAACTCGAGAAGCCTAGCATCGTGGTGTGGGTTCGGTGGGCACTGCAGCTGGCTTCCTTGTCTAACTTCCGGTTTGCCCTCAGAAGGTCTGGTGGAGGCAGCCGGGCTGTGCTGTGGAGGTTTTGAATGATGTGTTCTGACAAGGTGTGTTACACGGATGTGCTCCATGCCTCCCAGGCGACGTAGTATTGGTGGCACAGAGGCAGAGATACCTCACAGTCTGGGCCGGAGGTATGAGGCTGGATCTGGCCGTGGCCCTGGTGATTAGAAACGTCCTATGGTGGAGAAGCAGAAGCCACCAACCTGAGGTGCTTCTGGCTGCTGCCTGTGCTCTGGGGGCAGGCTGCAAAGTGGCTGGGAGGCGTGGGGTGTTGAGGCCGTCCTATGTGTCCATTCTGAGCCTCATAGGCTGGGCTTCCCGGCTCTGCATTTTCATGTGGGAAGCCCCAGGCATGCCATACCTCCGAGGAAGCATATCCCTGCCAAGGCCTTCTGTGGCCCTGCCTCCTGAATGTCCTGAAGGCTCTGTCTGGCCTTGGGCTGGGATACAGCCAAGCATTTCCATTGGGCCACCAAGTCCCTGGCCAACCTGCCAAGCTGCTGGTCTTTGCACAAACTCTTGACTGTCTCTGACACCTAAGTGCTCAAGGACTTCTGCAGTCATTGGTAGGGTGGAGAGCTTCCTTAAGTATTTGCCAAGCTTGTGGGAGTCGCTTGTGCCCAGCAGGCACCCTTGAAGCTTGTGTGCTGCTTGAATCACAGGTTCTAACCTGGGCCTCACCATACCTGTCCTACCCAGGTCTCACCGCCCTGGCCAAGCACCCTGGAGCAGCGATGGCTGCTCACCCTTCTCTGGACCAAGCTGGGCTCCCAGGTCCAGAGGGGGCAGGGTTCACACAGCAGAGATGGGTTGCTCCAACACACAGTTCAGTGAAATCCATGCAGTCTGGGTTCAGAGAGGCCACCACAATCCCCACCTTCAACAAAACAACAGGTGTTTTTCCAAGTGCAGAGCTGAGCTGCAGGAGAGCAACCTTCCTCCTTTCTCTTCCTGCTTCTCACTCGCCTCTCCCACATGCATCAGGCCTAAGCAGCCAGCAGATTCTCCGTCCCAGTGTGCGTCCCAGCCAAGCAACACAAGAGCCCCCAGGGCAGCTCTCAAGGCTTGGGTCCTTTTTATGCCTTGAGCTCCGCCCATTCACCCATAATGCATCTGGCCAGAAGTCCCACCCACTGTGCAAAAGCCTTGCTATGAGAGAGGCTGGAGGTGGGCCCTCCTCTTCCCTCTTCACCTCATCCCTTCATTCATGAGCCGTACTCTTGTTCCACTTTCTCTTACTTTCTGGTCTCCTTGCCTCCTGCCTTCACTTCCCCTGCCCTGGGCTGTACACAAAGGTCATTGGGATGAGCTCTGTGCCCGAAGGCGGCCCACTGCCATGAGCTCTTTGGCCACAGGTGGCCCTGTGGTCAAATCATGTCATGTGGGGCCCAGCAGGTTCTCTTTCAGCTGAGGAAGGGCCGGGGCTGAGCTCAAAGCGCCCTCTGCCTGCACCAGCCTCCCAGAGTCCTGGCATGAGAGGCTTGAAGCTAAAGTCCCTGCCTAGAGATGGATCTGCTCTCAGCAATCCACTAGGCTTCATGCACTCCCCTCTTCCAATCAAACCATGAGGCTTGAGAGTCACCACAATTCACACCATCTGGCCTTTCCACAGGGCCTTTGGTGTTGGGGCTGGAGTGTGTCTGCTCTAGTAACCTCTCCAGCTCTGGAGGTCATCTGCCCCCCTTTTGGCAAGTAAGTAGCTGGGAGCAAGGATGGATGACAAGCTGACAGACAAAAGCATGTGGCATCTTCTCACCATCCAGAGATACCACAGTGTTTTTCAAGAGGTGTAGGCTGATAGCTTCAGGCAGCCTGCTCCCCTCCTGGCTCTCAACATTGAGTCAGGAGCATATGTGGATCCTGAACATGAAAGCACACACATAGTGTCCCTTTCCCTGCCTCACCAGAATCATCACACACAGGATCTGGGGCATCACACCTTTGACAGCTCTTGCAATGTGCCCCAGTGGGGCTGCATCTCATCCCCAGCCAGTCTCTACACATTGAATTTCTTCACAGTCACAGGGGACACAATGTAAACTGACTCAGGAACACAGTGTCTAGAAACCAGAGTCCCAGCATCTTATAGGGCCTAGCGGCATGGCAGCCCTCTATGTTCTCCTGAGAAGCAGAAGCACTCAACCCATGCTTCTCAGGAAATGACCAGTCTGCAACTGAGACAAGGGTCCCTTTTCAAGCATGGATAAACCCTAGAGATTCTACATTTCATTCTGTGTGTCTGTATGTGTAATTCTCTCTCTCTCTGTCTCTCTGTCTGTCTCTGTCTCTCTCTCTCTTCCTCCGTGTGTCTGCATGTGTGTGTGTTTCTGTGCATGTGTAGGTGTCTTTGTGTGTATTTGTTTTTGTCTGTGTGTTTGGCAGTGTTTGTGTGTTTGCATGAGTGTGACAGGATGTGTTTCAATCTGTGTGTCTGTGTGTGCATATGTCTGTGTGTGCCTGTGAAGAATTTTGGGCTTGACTATGCGTAGGGCCATCTCCATCCCAGGACAATGGCATTAAGGAACATCCACAGGCCTTTCTGAGATTTGCCACCAACCCTGCGGCTTGCACGTCGGCCCCACTGGGTCAGAACTTGCCACTGCCCCGCCACAGATCGCCAGAGCCACCACCTGCGGTAGTCTGTGTCAATGAAGGTAGCACAAGCCCCTTGTCCAGAGCTGGAGATCCAACTTCACAGGCCAGTCTCCTAGGGATTGTCTCATCCTTGAAGAAGAGAGGGAGAGCCCAAGTGAAAAGTGGGAAGGCGTTTACATTCAGAGGGGGCTCTAGCCCTTTTGCTTAGGGTGGCTGGGACAGCAAGACTGCACCCTAGGCACAAGCCTGTCTTGCCCTGTGTGTGTGTTCTAGCAGTTGGGGACACCTACTGGGAGATTTGTGGGCCCAGACTAATGTGTGTTTAAGCCTTGGGAATTCCTAGGATGGAAAGAAGTGCTGGCTAGGAGAGTGTTATGCTCTATGCTTATTGCCCTAGTAACCATGTACCTGGAGCACAGATCACATTGTTATAAATGTGATAAATTAACTGAGGTGTTGCCATACTGTTCTGTATGTGTCATCACCATAGTAACCTGTTTGCTGTGTCAGCCATTGTTCCCTTTGCGAGAGACAAATAATGCTGTGTCAACCTTTGTTCGTTTTGTGAGAAACAAATGTTCCTGGAATTAGCAGACCAAAGGCTGTAACTTAAGAAAAAAAGGGATAACCACCAACTGGGAAACATCTCTGATCTCAAGCAAAGGGAAACAAAGGCCTTCCAAATTCCTGCTTTGTCATGTCACTTGGTTAATGTGCTATAAAAATCTTTCAAAATTCTGACTCAGTTGCACAGCTTTGCAAATTTCATCTGCACTGTGTTGCTGGTGGCAGCTAAAATAAAAGTGCTTCCTTTTTAAAAAATGATGTTGTCTGGCCCTGTTTTTCATCTCAGGTGCTTTTTGGGGTACTACATTTGGGAGTTCATCTGGGATTACACAGGGACCCCTCCCCACATTATTTTTCACCAATCGATTGGCTTGAACCATCTGTATTTGGATCTTTTGTTCTTTGTAATTTGAATGTGTACGTTTGAAGTTGCAGACGAGCCTGGCTGGCTCCTTCTGCACCAGAGCAGGATGCCCTCTGGGAAAGGGCTTCTAGCCCATTTGTGATTTGGGAATTTTTGCCCATTTGGTTTTGTGCTTGGTATATTTTTACTGTGGAGCCATTTGCTTGTTTGAATCTGTTACCTCAGTACTAACATTCATATTTCTTTTATTTCTCTAAAACTACTGTTGCAGGTTCCATGTGGCTTATTGGACTTAAGGGTTATAATGAAAATTTATTTTCCTTTAGGTCACCAAACTGCGGAGAGAAAATCCTTTGTTTGTGTCTTTAATGTCAGTCTTGTCTTTTGTGGTGCCTTGTTAAATGTTTTAGTCCTCAACTGATTACTTACAACCTCGGCATGCCTTTAAAAATTATTTTTATTTCTGGTTAAAATGCAAATATATATATATATATATATAAATTAAAAAGGAATGTAATTCTCAGTGCCATCCCGACTAGGAGCCATCAGCGTTCAGAATCGCCGGACTCCTCTTCCTCACCCCTCAGGGCCTTATTTCTCTTTTGGAGTCTGTCTTCTCCATTCACCACCCCACTTGGGATGACTACAAGCAGATTTTGGTAGGTTCTGTTTACAGCAGAAGGGAGAGAGAACATTCATACTGTGGGATAAAAAATAGTATGAATTCCAGATAAAAACCTGTTCTCTGATCCTGAATGCCAGAACCATGTTTTCCCCTTTCCCGCCCTGACTGGAAAACCAGAGGTAACAAGGCTCTTGATCAGTATCGCCAGTTGTTCTCAGAATCCTTTAAGGGATGCCAGAAAACCCACCAATTTTTCCAAGGTAGAAGAGGTGAGACAGTTGGATGACGAGTCCTCCTTGGGGTTTCTGGAATAATTGCTAGAGGCTTATTACTTTTGTACACCCATAGATCCAGTGGCACCTAAAAATGCAAGGGCCATTAATATTGCCTTTGTAACTGTTGGCCCCTGATATTAAGTGAAAATTGCAAAGGCTTGAGGGATTTGAGGAAACGCCCCTCAGTTATTTATTAGAGTTTGCTTAGAACTGATTCTTTCCTCCCAGCAGATGCAAGCCATTCAACAGATTCCAGTCCCTGTGACTAGAAAGCAACTATGAGAATTTCTAAGAGCCATAGGATATTGCTTGCTTTAGATTACAGACTCAGGAGACCAGGCTTTTAAGAAATCAGTCTTAACAGAAGCTCCAGCTCTGGCTCTGCCAAATTTGCAAAACCTCTTTCCCTCTATGTTGATGAAAAGTGAGGGATAGCAAAAGGAGTACTGACCCAGAGATTAGGACCATGGCAAAGGCCTGTTGCCTATCTTTCCAAGAGACTTGATAATGTGGCAGCCACATGGCTGCCTTGCCTCCAGATGATTGCCTCAGGCCCTCCTGGTGAAAGAAACCCAAAAATTGACATTTGAACAAAAACTTTTAATTATCTCCTCTCATTCACTGGAGACTCTCATCAAAGCTCTGCTGGACTGATGGCTGCCTAACTCCTGAGTCATGCACTATCAGGCTTTACTTCTGGATCTGAGTACCATCAGTTTAAAGGGGACAAGGGCTTTGAACCCAGATACTCTTCTGCCTGATGATGACCCCTCCTTTCCCCTCTGATCATCTCATGGGCATTCGACCAGACTTGACAGATGAACCACTATCTGGAGTTCGATCATATTTCTCCAATGGAAGCAGTTACATCTGTCAAGGTAAGCAGGTCACAGGAGCCACCATCACTATGGACTCTCAGATTCTATGAGGCAGGAACACCAGCCTAATGGGCTGAACTGATTGCCCTCACTGAGGCCCTCAAGTTGTCAGACTGATAGCAGATACGCATTGGCTCCTGCCCATATTCATGGGGCCATTTATCAAGAATAGGGTTTATTGATTTTAGGGGAACAAAAGATCAAAATGCTCCCCAAGTTTTGGATTTTTCAGCTGCCATTTGGCTGCCAAGGAAGGTGGTTAATAAATAATCTAGCAGACACTGCTGCCCAAAAGCAGCAACAAAATCAGTGGGGATTAAGACAGCCCCAGCATTGCTGCTGATTCCATCTATTCTGTCAGAGCCCTTTTCTCAAAAAGTCTTGCATTTGGCAGCTCAACTCCAAGCAAAGCCTCATATCCCCAGGGGCTGGTACCAACTGCCTGATAAGCGAGTCCTCCTCCCTGAGGCCTTGGGATGAGAACTCACTCAACAAGCTCATCAGTTCACTCATGTGGGAGGATCAAAACTCACTGTCCTTTTTAGAGATAGTTTCTTTATCCTTCAGCTATTGAAGCTTAGTCTGTGAACATTAGTGCCAGTTGGTAAACTCAAAGTGACAGCAACAAATGGAAACCATTCATTATCGTGGGACTATGCCTGGAAAACATTGGGAAATAGATTTCACAGAAATGGGAAAGCCTGGACTTCAAGGGAATAAAGTACTTATTAGTACTGGTAGATACTTTCACTGGATGGGTCAAAGCTTTTCCTACTAAGTCTTGAGTCAGCCCTGATAGCAGTTTCCCTGATTTGGCCTCCCTTTATCCATGAAATCTGACAATGGCCTGGATTTTATAGCCCAGATAACTCAAAAACTAACCCAAGATTTGCAGATTGATTAGAAACTCCATTGTGCTTACTGGCTTCAAATTTCAGGACAAGTAGAAAGGATGAACCAGACTTTAAAAATGGTAATAACTAAGATGGCCTTAAAAACTGGCAAGAACTGGGTGAGTCTCCTTCATTTTGCCCTCTTGCATGCATGATGTACCCTCTATGTTTCAGGTGTTTCCCCTTTTGAAGCTCTATATGGGAGACTTCCTCCTCTTATTCCTAAGGTTTCTGAGGAAAAACTAGCTGATCTAGCTAATCAAGATCTTGTTAAGTCCCTCCAGGCCCTTCAGCTAGTTCTGACTTCCATCCATCGGTTATTTGGACAACAATATCCTCCGCCTGCAGCCCATCCTGAGGACAAACTTCCTGCAATGGAACCAGGAACACTAGTCCTCATCAAGAGACATCACTGTGAATCTCTCGAACCATGGTGGGGAGGCCCCTACACTGTGGTCCTCAGTACTCTGACTGCCGTCAAATTCACTGGAAAGCCTGCCTGGATTCATCATCCCCACTTCAAACTGGTTCCAGCCTCTGACAGCAATCAGCCTACAGATAAGTGGACTGTTTTTCCCTCCATGGAGTCTTTAAAGCTTAAAATTGCCAAATGTATCCGATAATCTTGTTCTTATGTGTTTTTCCTTATGAGACCCCAAGGAGATACCTCATAATCCACTGTTTGGAACTTGGAGAATTACTATTTCACAGGTCAATTATTCATAGACAATACTACTGTCTATGGGATAATTAAGATAGATTTATGTGCCCTATTAAATAACATCCCAGCAAAAATTAGACAGAAGAGAATGTTATTGGGTCAGCATTCCATACTGCTGGAAACCAACTGGGCCTTTCAGGGACCTATGTAGTCAAAAGGAATTACAGTCCACTGGGAGGTATCTTTGCCCCCAAAAGCAACAGCCAGCCTTAGATCCCAGGTGTTCACACTCCATAGAGACAAAATATTTTTGTGGACATTGAGCTTGTGAATCTTATGTCTCCTTGGCAGGGAAATAAACGGGGGTCATTACCTTTTTCTCACTTGGGAAACCCCATCTTCCGTTCTCCTCCACCAGACTTCCTGCTCCTGAGACCTGTTTGCCCTCTGCCATATCTGTGCCATCTGGAGACCCCTTCTTGCTTCTAGACATTGCTTATGGCAAATCAACTTTTAAATTCCTGTGCAGACAACACCACTTGTTGGTGAGATGCTAGGCCCCTGCTCACATTGGCTGCCTCCCACTCCTCGCACACTTCCCCTTATGCTGCGCTCTGTAATCTTACATCTTCAGCTTTGGTTCATAATTTTTCTTATCCTGCTAATCAGCACCTTGTTGCTCCCAACAGAGCCTGGTTTGCCTGTACTTCTGGTATAACTCCTTGTTCCATGCGTTACCTGTTCACTCAGTGCCCTGAGCTTTGCATATTAACCCATATATTTCCCCAAGTGTACTGGCACTCTGGAGATAATGGTAGGAGTCACTAGTTCACTAGCTTTGACTTAAAGAATCCAGTCCTGGTGAAGAGAAATCCTGTATGCTTACCTGTATAACTGGAAATTGGGATGGCGGGGTCAATAAGTTTAGGAGTGTCCAGCCTAATAATTGGAGACCAAAACTATAGATACTTAAGTGTACTCATTGATAAAGATCTATCAGCCCTTAGTGACATTGTCTCCAAATTAGATGATTCTTTAAGTTCACTGGCTGAGATGGTTTTACAAAACTGGCGGGGTCTAGACTTCCTGGTCCTGAAGGACAGAGGCCTCTGTCTGGCATTAGGAGAAAATTGTTGCTGCTCTGTCAGTTACTCTGGGGTTATCAGACAAAGTATGGCCAGCCTTAAAAGGTAGCTACAGGAATGAGAACAAGCCAGACAAGCTGAACAGAATTGGTTTGAATGATGGTTTTCTCTATCTCCCTGGTTGACAATGTTAATCACGACAGCCTCTAGACCTGTTAGTCTCACTTACTTGTTTAACAATTGTCCCTTGCATTATAAACAAATTGGTAAATTATGTCAATAATTAGGTTCAAACTATAAAACTCATGATTTTAAGGACACAAGTTTATGAACAGATACCACTGCTTGAAAACTCAGTGAGACAATGATTTGGCTCACTGACAAAAATTAGTGGGGAATGTTATGCTCTATGCTTATCATCCTAGTAACCATGTACCGGGAGCACCGACCACATTGTTATAAATTTTATATAAATTAACAGAGGCATCACCATACTGTTTGTATGTGTCATCACCTTAGTAACCTGTTTGCTGTGTCAACCTTTGTTCCCTTTGTGAGAGACAAATGATGCTGTGTCAACCTTTGTTTGTTTTATGAGCAACAAATGTTCCTGGAATTAGCAGACCCAAGGCTGTAACTTAAGAAAAAAACAAGGACTAACCACCAACTGTGAAAAGTGTCTGACCTCAAGCAAAGGGAAACAAAGGCCTTCCAAATTCCTGCTCTGTCACATCACTCAGTTGATGTGCTATAAAAATCTTTCAAAATTCTGACTCAGTTGCACAGCTTTGCAAATTCCATCTGCACTGTGTTGCTGGTGCCAGCTAAAATAAAAGCGTTTCCTTTTTAAAAAATGATGTTGTCTAGCTCTGTTTTTCATCTTGGGGGTCTTTTTGGGGTACTACAGAGACTTTTGATTTTCCTCTCCTGGCTAGGGCTCTAGCAAAGGCTGGTTTCGACTGCAGGGACCCTTACCTTGTGAGTCCCTGTGCCCTTGTCCCTGGCAAGCCCAAGATGGTCAAGTGGCCAGGCTTCTGGCAGTGCTTTCAAGGGCGGATAAACCCTAGGAATTCTGCATTTCATTCTATGTGTCTGTATGTATATGTCTCTCTCTGTCTCTGTGTCTCTCTCTCTCCCTCCCCAGCCTCCCAGAGCCCAGAGACCAGAGCCCAGAGCCCAGCAGCTGTCCTGAGAAAAGCAAAGAAAGAGACAGAGATGAAAACGGAGAAACAGACAGAGGCACACATGCCCAAAGAGTCAAAGAGTCCCCTGAAAAAAGCATGGAAGGGGGCAGGTGGGCTGGTGGTAAAAAGGAAAGGACAGGAAGAATAAATTTGGGATGAGGGAGGAAGGGAGTGATCCGCAAGAGGCAAAGGGAATGAAGACAGACATGGCGATCTGAGCAGCCAGATCCAGGCGGAGGTGGACATTAGAATCCACTGAGCTGAGCAGAGCTGAGCTGAGCTGAGCTGAGCTGAAATGAACTGAGCTGCATGTGTCAGGCTCATGGCTGAGGATCAAGGCATAAGTGTGTGTGTGTGCTGTTAGGGTCTGAGAAAAAGCAGGGAGGAAGAGAGTGAAAAGAGGCACAGGGCCAGCAAAACAGCTGAGAGACAGCTAAAAGCAAGGGCCAGGTGCAGGATGAAAAGCACAGAGAGAGAGAGAGAGAGAGAGAGAGAGAGAGAGAGAGAGAGAGAGAGAGAGAGAGAGAGAGAGAGAGGGAGAGAGAGAGAGAGAGCAAAAAGAGGGAAACGGGACTCAAGTGGGTTCGTAGATGATCTAGGAGTCAGTCTAATCAGGGGCAAATGGATAGACAGACACATTTGGTGTTTAGCGAGCCCAGCTGAGCAGAGCCAAGCAGAGCCGAGCAGTGCAGTGCTGAGCCTAGCTAGTTGCATATGCCAGTTTATAGGTGATGATTAGGACATCTGTGTGTTACAGGTGGGTGCGGGTGGATATGGGGGCAGCACGTTTGTGTTGTGAACCTGCACTCATCAGTGGCCAGTGTGAGCGCAGGAGGCTGGGAGCCAGGGAGCCAAGCCTGAACACTCTTCCTGTGTTTTTTCACAGATCTCTGGATCCGAGAACCACCAAACCAAACAGGCAGACAGGTATCCTGCTGGAAATGAGATTCGACTAGAGTCTGACATCGATTTTCGCTTAGCATCAGACAGACAGACAGACAGACACACAGAAAGACAGACAGACAGAAAGACAGACAGACACCTATCTTCTAACACCTCCTTTGGTGAAGTGAGAGGGTTGATTTTTGTCTCCTGTGTGTGGCAGGTGTGGGGAAGGGGCGTGGCTCACCCTGCTCGCTGGCTTCTTTTGCTTCTCTCATAGGACTTGAACAGTGAGTGAGTGATTTCTCCATGTTTCACGATGCTGCCTTTGGAACAGAAAAACAAAATTTTTTCCAGGGGAAAAATTCACCTAGAGTCTCCAGTTCCTTTTTGGTAGAACACAGAAACTTCCTCCCTGGATGAGGGGCATCTAATACGGCCTCTAAGCTGACATTCCTCTGTGGTGGGTGGGGGAGGGAGTAGGAGGTGGGGATTCACAGGCATGGGGGCTTCTCTAAGCCACTGGCTCATGAAACCCAGCATATTGCTAACCCTGACCCCTCTGCTAGACCTAATCCTAACCCCTGAGGGCCACTCCCTTGACCCAATGCACTGCTACCCAAATCCTCAAGAACCACGTCCTGCCTCCAGACATACCACTGGAAGTGATTTAGCTATAATCTGACATTCATCAGTCAAGGATGGGCTCATCAGAACTAGGGGTCTGCAGACCCCCTACCAGTTGGAGGGTGGAGCCATATGGGTCACACTAGGCTGTGCTCCACAGAGAGTCAGTCCCTCTAGGTGGTACTAGCACTGCTCCCTCCTGAACCTCAGAGGAGGAGCTGATATCAGCCTGCTCTGTGACCCCAACAACCTTCCAGTGTTAGCCCAGGAGGGTAGCTAGTGGGCACAATGCAGACCATCATATGAGCCTGAAGGGTCTATGCAGAGCCCAGGATGAAGGTAAGTGTAGGGGAAAAGACCCCAACATTGGAGGACCCATGGAGGCAGGCAAGACCAACAGCAGGGATTCATTCCAGGGGCTGTGCCTGCTTTTCAGAAGGACCCAGGCCAGTCCTGGCACACACTAGATGCTGACCCAGCCCTATACACACACAACCCTGAGTTCCCCTACATGCAGCCCAAAGACAGAGACAGTCAACAGCACGTGGCACCACCTCTCTCCTGTCATCAGACACAGCCACCACTTGCTATGGCACCCTTGGTGGCAGGTAACAAGGTAACTCCCTTCTGACCAGACAGACAGACAGACAGAGGGTGACAGGGCTGCAGGTTCCTCGAAGACATGGGCCCCAGGAAAATGTGCCCATCTGTGTGTCGGTACAGTTCTTCTGTCTTCACTTGCCACAGACAGTCCATGTGACCTTCACATCCTTTTGTGTGTCAGCTGTGCGGGTGCCCCCTGGTGCTCCTGGATGGCCTCCTTCCTTGGTCATAGCCTTCCTTAGGAATCTCCTGACCCCTTGGCCTGTCCATGTAGGAGGGCCCTGCTGGGGCAAGGCATCCCCCTCACACTCACACACACATGTGCACACTAGAAACGGGCAGGATACATATCTATAGCCAAGCGAGGGTCCTGGCATCACCTCAGAGGGTACTAGTGTCCAGCAGCAGCCATCAGAGATTGGTACGGAGCCCAGTGGACTCCAGTCTCCAACCTAAGCCTCAGTCCCCAGTGGGAAACCTTCCCTGCACAAAGTATATGCTCGGGGATATGGGCCTATAGGTGCTCGTGGTCTACACCAACAGCCAGCCCGGGTGGTCATCTGCAAAAGAGAGAGAGAGAGAGAAATAGCCCTCATCACTGTGTCATCAGCTTTCCTGCCTGCCATGCTCTTCTCAGATGAGACAGCGCCATCTGCTGGCTACAGGGGACATGCACATCGTCCTCTTTGCCCGAATGAGACAGCGCCCCTTTTGGCTAAAGAGGACAGGCACATTATCCCAGAGGTACCACCAGGATCCAAGTTCTCGGACAACCTCCAACCTCCTATAGATGAAAAGAGAAATGGGGAAGAAACACTGGCCTCAGATGCAAGGCCAAAGGCAACTCCAGAAAGATGCCAGTCCTCAGGAAAGCCAGTGTCAGAGCACCTTCCTTAGCTTTCACAGCCTAAAACCCTGACACTGAGCCTAAGCCTAAGCCTAACCCTCCCAAGTGAGGTGCCTTCCTCCCTCCTGTACCTCCCTCCAACTCGGGCAGGTCCATTCCAGAAAGAATGTGTCGCGCGCAGTGTCTGTGATGTCTTTCTCTGCCTCTATGTCTGTCTGGGTGGACTTAAGAATCTTCCACTGTGGCTGGGTTTGCAAGCTTTGCCCTCTGGTGGCCAAACATGGAACAGGCGGCAGCATCAGAGTGAACTGCAAAAGGGATAGAGTCTCTGAAAGAGAGAATCCCAAAAGACATCCTGATATTGTTCCAAACAATTTGGCTCGAATCTTTCAGTCCTTTTAAGTTGACCGACAGCTGAACCCTGCTTCTTTGGGTGAGCAGGTTTCCATGTTTTTCTCAATCTGTAGGTACCACAGCTCATTCTGGTTTTCTCATGGGACTTGTATCCTGAGTCATCTTCCATTTTCTTGGGTCAAATACAGGGCACTAGTAAAATGAAATTCTGGGCTTGTTGCTGGTGTCAGTTATGCCAAGCTACCACATGGGCCAGAGAGCAAAAAGATGCAAATGGTCTGAAGTGAGTTCGTGAATGACAGACACACAGAGGAATCCGAGCAGCAGGATGGATGCATTTGCAGTCCAGTGAGATGAGCTGAGCTTAGCTGGCCTGCACTGAGGGACCACCACTGGCCTGGATCACTGGTGTCAAAAGTCTCAGAGAGTCGCTGGTCAGCCTGGAGCCAGGAAAAAAAATCACAAAGACTTTGAACAGTGAACCACCAGAAGGAAAGATGTCCCACTGCAAAGGATTTAGCGAGAGTCTGACATCCAGTCAGACACACAGACAGACACCTGACCTATGTGTCTCCTGCTTCCTGGGTGGAGTGAGTGGGTTGATTCTACTCTCCTGCGTGTGGTTAAGGCTCATCTGCTTTTCTCATGGGACTTCGGCCCTCCCTCCTTCCCCGAGTATGGATCGTCCATATTTCACAAGGCTTTTTCACCCAGAACCACCAGATAAATAGAGACAGACATCCTGTCACAAAAGTGAGAGAGAGAGAGAGAGAGAGAGAGAGAGAGAGAGAGAGAGAGAGAGACAGAGAGAGAGAGAGAGTCTTATATCGATATTGGGGGTGGCATGTGTCTGTTAGCGTGAGGAACTAAGACTGTGTGTGTGTATGTATCTATCAGGATGAGTGTGGTGAGTGGGACATTGTGTGTGTGTTACTGTGAGTTGGGGGAATGATTTTAGGGTGAGGGTGGGAAACGTGGCTTGTGTGTGTTTTAGTGTGAAGTAGGAGAAGGAGCCAGCTTGTGTTTTCCGAATGAGCCCATGGAACGGGGCATGTGTGTATATTTAGCATGAGCTTGGGGTAGACGGCGTGTGTGTGTTTTGAGGGTGAGCCCAGGGATTCTGGCATGTGTGAGCATATTAGGGTGAAGTTCAGGAGCGGGGAATGTGTGTGTTTTCACCTGAGTGTAGGAAACCGGGCATGTGTGTGTGTGTGTTTTTGGGGTGAAATGCGACCAATCTGACGTCTCAGGAACCCAGCTGCTCCCTCGGAGCACTGACAGGTCACCCTGAAGCCTGAAATCCTAACCCTAACCCTTTTCCCAAGCAGTAACCCTAACCCTAACTCAAACCCTAGCCTAACCCCGCCTCGCTTTTCCTCCCTCCCATGGCTAACCCAAAATCATGGCATTTGGGTTCCTCACTGGTAGACAGACAGACAGACAGACAGACAGATAGACAGACAGGGAGACACACACACACACACACACACACACACACACACGCACACGCACACCCACACGCACAGGCACACAGCAGATTCCAAGCTTCTTACATTGACAGACTTTGGAATATCTTATTAGCTGAGCTGGGAAACCTCCCACCTGCATGCAAGGGCACCCCCTCTTCCACATGTGTTGGAGGCAGACACTCATACCCACCAGCCTCGGCTGGCCCCAGAGCCAACCAGGACTGAGCAGAGGGACGGAAGGAGGGAGGGACAGAGGGACAGATGGACAAATGGTCTTTAGTGGTCCTTCCTTCCTTCCTTCCTTCCTTCCTTCCTTCCTTCCTTCCTTCCTTCCTCCCTTGCTTCTGGTCAAATAAGGGGCATGTAGGGAGTTGGAGACCAGCCTAGGCTCCAAAGGGAGCTCAATGCCAGGCCGAACTGCATCCATAGAGAATCCCTGGCTCAAGAAGTGAAAAAAATTAAAAATAAAACAAATAAAAGACACGAAAACATAAATCCTTTACAAATGATGGGGGAAGTGTGGTTTGAAAGGCCATGACACTGAGCATTTCTGAGACTGCGTGGCTGGCAGGATTCCAGGGTATTAAACTGGTGACCTCCCATTTGAAGTGTGGGCACAGGGACCGCTGAGCCAGAGGCCCAGAAGGTTCATGGCTGACGTCCGTTTTTGAATAGAGACAGAGACAGGTGCAGTCTGTCTGTCTGTCTGGCTACACTCCCTCCCTTGTGAGCTAAATGCATCAGTGCTGCCCCCAGACCACTCCTGAGCCCCTTTCTCTGCCACATGTGGGAAACAGGCAGGGAGACAGACCAGCTGAAATGGGAGGGGACGGGATGGGAGGTTTGAACTCACATGCAAATTAAAAAGTGACCCTGGACTTAGTCACATCCAGCTCCCACCTCCACCAGCAGCACCCACCGCTCCTTCCTTCCATCTCTGGCTAATCCAAGCTCAGTTCCGAGGGCCCAAACTCCACTCCACACATCTCTCCCTAATTCACCATCAATCCCAAGAGCCTAATGCCCCCACCCTTCCACCCCTTCCCCTGGTGTTGGTGCCTAGGATTGGGGTGGGGGCCCCGAGTTTCTGTCCATCTGTGGGTCCAGCATCAGTATTGAGGAGAGAAGGAGGAGGAGGAGGGAGAAGAATGAAAGGAGGTGAGAGCCAGGGGTGAAATGGAGTGGAGCGCTGGAAAGGCAGAAGCAGCAGCCACCACCGTGGTCCAAGCAAACAAACCCCAAAACATCAGAGAGCAGGCAGAGTGAGGAGAGAGGAGAGAGGAGGGAGGGGAAAGCACAGAGAGAGAGAGAGACAGAGGGAGAGAGAGAGCAAGCCTAGAGAGGGAGAGAGGAGGAGGGCAGAGGTCCAAAAATGGGCGGGGTGGAGGGACTGATGAATGGAGACAGTGATGATTCTCCCTTTATTGGTTCTTCTGTTCATACATTCCTTCATTCGTTCATTCTCTCATTCATTCATTTATTCGCCCCTTGGTTTGCAGGGAGCCTTTCTTTGTTCCTTCCCTTCCTTCCATCTTTATGGGTGAAAGTCAGATGGCTGCCCTGGAGCCTGGTGGGTGTGTGGCCCTAAGAGGCACAGAGGAGAGGCATGAAGCATCCCAGGGCTGGAAGGAAGGGCCCTGCCCTACGTGGCAGAGGCTGCCATAGCCTGGCAAGAGGGCAGCCCAGAACGTGAGCCCTCCACAATGCACGGGGGGGCGGAGGCGGGGGAGGCTGCTGAAGAACCCTCACCTGGCTGGGCTGTGCTGTGTGGTGTATGGCTGTGGTCCCAGTCATCTCCTCTTGCTCATCGTGGTGGGGTCCTGGAAGGCAGGAAGGCCAGCAGGCAGTCAGGCAGGCAGGCAGGTAGGAGCTTCGAGCAGAGGGGGCAGCTTGGAGCTGGGAGCTTGGAGCTGGGGGGGCCAAAGCCCTGAGCCCAGAGAGCTGGGTTCCAGGAACCTGGAGGGAGGGAACCAGCAAGGGGTGAGCAAAGGGTGGGCCAGGGGGCGGCCCAGAAAGTGAGCCCAGCACCACACACCACAAAACATCATGGGGGCCCCCAGGCACAAGGACCCTCACCTTGCTGGCTGTCTGGTAGACAGCTGTTGTCCTCCTCAACTCATCGTGGCCCGCATCATCATGGGGTCCTGGAGGGCACGCAGGCTGGCAGGAGGGAGGAGGTGCATGGTGAACCAGAATCCAGGAGCTGGGAGTGCCAAGTCCCAGGAACCTGGAGGAAAACATGGAGCCAGTGAAGGCTGAGCTGGGGAGGCAAGGGGGAGGCCCAGAACTGCACCCCACCACTATACTCCACTCCACGGGGGGCAGGCGGGCGGCTCAGTCCAGTGACCCTCACCTCACTCGATGCATGGCAGATGGTTGTTGTCCCCATCTCTTCTTGGTCCGCATTGTCATGGGGTCCCAGAAGGCAGGCAGGTAGCCAGGCAAGCAGGCAGAGCTCCTGGGAGAGCTGGGAGCCAGGAGCTGGGCAAGCAAGAGGGGTCCTGGGAACCTGGAGGGGAATGGAGAGAGAAAGCAGCGAGGGGGTGCTCTGGAGGGCAAGCCAGGGGTCTGGCTGTGTGGGCCGGTTAACTCCTGCTGCCTGGTGCCTGGTGCCTGAGCCTGTGAAGCCTTGAGCTTGCTCAGGGAGAATGCATGGGAAATCCCGGAGGCCAGGAGCCAGTAGATCTGGCCACGCCCGTGCAGCCCTGCTAATCCCTCCACCCTGGCTGCAGATCCCTCCACCCTGGCCGCTAACCCTTGCATCTCCTCCTGTGGCACCTTGCTGGTGTCCAGGAAGCCCCTTTCCCTTTGCTCACTTTCTTGCTCGCTCATTGGTTGAGGAGGAGGACGGGGTTGTGGCGGGTCCTCAGGATTTCAGAGGCAGGATTTTCATTTTATTTCATTTATTTATTTTTTTGGTCTTTTTCATTTTTATCTGTACTGGGGATCGAATTCAGGACTGCCTGCTTGCAAGGCAGGTGCTTATGCCCCTGAGTTAAACCCCCAGCCCCCAGGATTTTCATTTAAAAAAATGGAAAAAAATATGGGGCTGGTTAGGGATTAGGGCTGAGAGAGCAGAGGGCCATCAGCGTGTGGGGATCAGCAGGGTGTACTCCAAAGAACTCTGGATGGGAGAATCACCAAAATGGGATGACCACGTGGACAGTGAGGACTAGGAGGGAGGGTGGCCTGTGCTGATGCCCCTGGGTGAAGGCAAGGAGGCTGGCAGCCAGGCCAGGAGCACAGAGGAAGGCAAGGAGCCAGGGAAGGAAGGGGGCCCGGGAAGCAAGGACATCAGGGAGGCAATCCAGGGCAGACAGAGGAGGCAGAGAAGCCTGGGGAGGCTGAGCAGCACCCAGGGACCACAAAGGAAGGCAAGGAGGAGCCAGGGAGCCCAGGGAGCCTGGGAAGAAGGGGTGCCAGGGAAGCCAGGAGGGGGATCAGGAGATCCAGCCAGGGCAGCCAGAAGAGGCAGAGAGGATAGAGGAGGCAGGGCACCCAGGGAGCTCAGGGAACCCAGAAATCCCAGAGAAAGCAGGGTAAGCCCAGGGAGGGAACCTTGACTGAACTCTGCCCAACCTTGGAAGGCAGACAGCCAGCCACTCAGGGACTCAGGAGAACCTCGGAGGCCTTGGATGCTGAGAGGAAGCAGGAAAGCCTAGGAGAATTCGATGTTCTGTCAGCAGACAGACTTTTCCCACTTGGAAAATTTCACCTCGGCTGTGGAATTCATGTTGGATGAACCCACAGCAGATCCAATCCAGCCTGGGGTGTGGCATGGCTGCTGGGGCGTGGCAGTCCATTGCCTCCCTAAATCCCTGCCTGTTAAGCCCAGAGGCTGGCTAAACTGCCACCCTCCACTAATCCTAACCCTAGCCATTCTAACCCTAGTTGCCTGGGGTCCACTGCTCTGCCCTAATCCAGCGCTCCTCTAGGTAAGCCTCAGGAACCAACACCCTGTTGCCACCCTACTCCACTCCCTGCATCCCATCTGCCACCCCCAGGCAGCCCACTCACTCACTCAGTCCCCTCCAGTCTGTTCCCAGCCTCCAAGAGCCCAGAGACCACAGCCCAGAAACCAGAGCACAGAGCCCAGAGCCAAAAGGCAAGAATGTAAAACTTCAAAGAGCAGAGGTCCTGAGAAAAGCAAAGAAAGAGACAGACACAGAGATGGAGAAACTGCCACAGACAGAGATGTCCAAAGAGTCAAAGGGCTACCCGGAGAATAGCACAGAGGGGACAGGCCAGCCAGTGGTAAAAGGGAAAGGGGGGGGGATAAACTGGGGAATGAGGGAAGGAGGGAGGGATCCAAGAGAGGCAAAGGGACTGAAGACAGACAGGGCAATCCCAGCAGCAAGACCCAGGCAGAGGCTTAGGTTAGAATCCACTGAGCTGAGCTGAGCTGAGCTGAGCTGCTGTGTATGTTAGGCTAGTGGGTGAGGATCAGGAAATAGGTGTGTGTGTGTGTGTGTGTGTGTGTGTGTGTGTGTGTGTGTGTTTGTTGTTAGGGTGTTAAAAAAGTGGGGAGGGCAACAGTGAAAAGAGACATGGGTGGGGCGGCACAAACAGCTGAGACCCAGCCCCAAAAAGCCCAGGGGAAGGTAAGAAAGCAGAGAGAGACTGAAAAGCAGCCCAGGGAGGGAGAAAACCCGAGAGAGTGAAAAAAGACTGCAGCTCCTCCCCCTGCAAACAAAACCAGAGAGAACCCAAACTAGGCAAAGGCCAGAGGAAAGCAGAGACAGCGAGAGACAGTGACAGAGACAGAGAGACAGACAGACAGAGAGAGTGAGGCAGAAAGAGAGATGCAGAAAGAGTCTAAGGGCTCAGAGAACAGTACAGAGAGGGTGCAGATGGGTGGTAAAAGGGACAGGACAGGGATGAAAACAGGGAGGGATCAGAGGGAAGATCCAAAGGTGTTTGTGTAGGACAGATGTGGGAATCCCAGCAGAGACATGCAGGAAGAGGAGTAGGTAGATCTGGGATCCATCAGCAGAGCTGAGCTGAGCCGTGAGTGTTAGGCTCACGGGTGAGGATCAAGGCATAAGGGTGTGTGTGGTGTTAGGGTCTGAGAAAAAGCAGGGAAGGAGAGAGTGGAAAAAGGCACGGGGCCCCAAGAACAGCTGAGAGACAGTTAAAAGCAAGGGCCATTGCAGGACATAAAGCAGAGAGAGGTAGAGAGAGAGAGAGAGAAAGAGTGAGAGAGAGAGAGAGAGCAAACAGAGGGAAACGGGACCCAAGTGGGTTCATGGATGATGATCTAGGAGTCAGTCCAATCAGGGGGCAAATGGATAGACAGACACATTTGGTGTTTATGGAGCCCAGCTGAGCTGAGCCAAGTGAAGCAGAGCAGTGCAGTGCTGAGCCGAACTGAGCTTCATATTCCAGTTTTATAGGTGAGGATCAGGACACCTCTGTGTGTTGTTAGAGTTGGGGTTTGGGTGGATGCGGGGGGAGCATGTTTGTGTTGTGAACCTGCACTCATCAGTGCCCAGTGTGAGCACAGGAGGCTGGGAGCCAGGGAGCCAAGCCTGAACACTCTTTCTGTGTTTTTTTTTCACAGATCTCTGGATCCGAGGACCACCAAACCAAACAGGCCGACAGGTATCCCACTGGAAATGACATTCGGCTAGAGTTTGACATGGATTTTCACTCAGCATCAGACAGACAGAGAGACAGACACCTTTCTCCTCCCGCCTCCTTTGGTGAAGTGAGAGGGCTGATTTTTGTCTCCTGTGTGAGGCAGGCCTGGGGAAGGGGCGTGGTTCACCCTGCTGGCTGGCTCCTTTTGCTGCTCTGATGGGACTTTAAAGGTGAGTGAGGCATTTCTCCATGTTTGAGTATGCTACCTTTGGAACAGAGAAACACAATAAATATTTCCATGGCGAACAATTCAACTAGACTGTCGATTTGCTTTTTGGTACAACACAGCAACTTCCTCTCTAGGTGGGGGTGTTTCTAATCCAGCCTCTAAGCTGGCATTCCTTTGTGGTGGGTGGGGGAGGGAGTAGGAGGTGGGGGTTCATGTGAATAGGGGCTTCTCTAAGCCACAGGCTCCCTAATCCCAGCAGATCTCTAACCCTCACGCCTCTGCTAGACCTAACACCAACCCCATAGGGCCACTCCCGTGACCTAACACACTGCTCCCCAAATCCTCAACAACCACCTCCTGGCTCCAGAAGTCCCACTGGAAGTGACTTAGTTAGAATCAGACATTCATCAGTCAAGGTGTGGGCTCATCAGAACTAGGGGTCTTCAGACACCCTCCCAGTTGGAGGGTGGAGCCATATGGGTCACACTAGGCTTTGTTCCACAGAGAGAGTCAGTCACTTTAGGCAGTACTGACACTGCTCCCTCCTGAACCTCAGGGGAGAAGCTGATATCAGGCTGCTCTGTGACCCCAACAACCTTCCATTGTTGGGCTTGGAGGTTAGCTAGTGGGCACAATGCAGACCATCGTATGAGCCTGAAGGGTCTATGCAGAGCCCAGGGTGAAGGTAAGGGTGGGGTAAAGACCCCAACATTGGAGGACCCACAGAGGCAGGAAAGACCAACAACAGGGATTCATTCCAGGGGCTGTGCCTGCTTTCAGAAGGACCCAGGCCAGTCCTGGCACACACTGGATGCTGACCCAGTCATATACACACACAACCCTGAGTTCCCCTACATGCAGCCCAAAGACAAGGACAGCCAACAACATGTGGCACCACCTCTCTCCCGTCTGTCATCAGACACAGCCACCACTTGCTATGGCACCCTTGGTGGCAGGAAACAAGGTAACTCCCTTCTGACCAGACAGACAGACAGAGGGTGAAAAGGCTGCAGGTTCCTTGAAGACATGGGCCCCAGAAAATGTGCCCATCTGTGTGTCGGTACAGTTCTTCTGTCTTCACTTGCCACAGACAGGTGAACCAGTCCATGTGACCCTCACGTCCATTTGTGTGTCAGCTGTGCGGTGCCCCCTGGTGCTCCCGGATGGCCTCCTTTCTTGGTCATAGCCTTCCTTACGAATCTCCTGACCCCTTGGCCTGTCCATGTAGGAGGGCCCTGCTGGGGAAGGCATCCCCCTGACACACACACGAGCACACTAGAAACGGGCAGGACACATATCTATAGCCATCCGAGGGTCCTGGCACCACCGCAGAGGGTACTGGTGTCCAGCAGCAGCCATCAGAGATTGGTACGGAGCCCAGTGGCCTCCAGTCTCCAACTGAAGCCTCAGTCCCACCTGGGAAACCTTTCCTGCACAAAGTATATGCTAGGGGATCTGAGCCTACAGATGCTCGTGGTGTACACCAACAGCGAGCCCGGGTGGTCATCTGCAAAAGAGAGAGAGAAATAGCCCCCATCACTGTGTCATCAGCTTTCCTGCCTGCCACGCTCTCCTCAGATGAGACAGCACCATCAGGTGGCCAGAGGGACACGCACATCGTCTTCTTCTGCCCAAATGAGACAGCGCCTCTGGTGGCTAAAGAGGACAGGCACATTATCCCAGAGGTACTGCCAGGGTCCAAGTTCTCTGACAACCTCCAGCCTTTTATGGATGAAGAGAGATGGAGAAGAAACACTGGCCTCAGATGCAAGGCCACAGGCAACCCCAGAGAGATGTTAGTCCTCAGGAAAGCTAGTGTCAGAGCACCTTCCTTAGCTTCTACAGCCTAAAACTCTGACCCTAGCCTAAGCCTAAGCCTAACCCTCCCAAATGAGGTGCCATCCTCCCTCCTGTGCCCCCCTCCAACACGGGCAGGTCCATTCCAGAAAGAATGTGTCGCGCGCAGTGTCTGTGATGTCTTTCTCTGCCTCTATGCCTGTCTAGGTGGACTTGAGAATCTTCCACTGTGGCTGGGTTCTCAGCTTTGCCCTCTGGTGGCCAAACATGGAACAGGCGGCAGTATCAGAGTGAACTGGAAAGGGATAGAGTCTCTGAAAGAGAGAATCCCAAAAGACATCCTGATACTGTTCCAAACAATTTGGCTCGAATCTTTCAGTCCTTTTAAGTTGACCGACAGCTGAACCCTGCTTCTTTGGGTGAGCAGGTTTCCATGTTTTTCTCAATCTGTAGGTACCACAGCTCATTCTGGTTTTCTCATGGGACTTGTAGCCTGAGTCATCTTCCATTTTCTTGGGTCCAATACAGGGCACTAGTAAAATGAAATTCTGGGCTTGTTGCTGATGCTGTCAGTTATGCCAAGTTACAACATGGGCTAAAGAGCAAAAAAATGCAAACGGTCTGAAGTGAGTTCGTGAATGACAGACACACAGAGGAATCCGAGCAGCAGGATGGATGCATTTGCAGTCCAGTGAGATGAGCTGAGTTTAGCTGGCCTGCAATGAGGGACCACCACTGGCCTGGATCACTGGTTTCCAAAGTCTCAGAGAGTCGCTGGTCAGCCTGGGGCCAGGAACAAAATCACAAAGACTTTGAACAGTGAACCACCAGAAGGAAAGATGTCCCACTGCAAAGGATTTAGCGGGATTCTGACACCAGTCAGACAGACAGACAGACACCTGACCTGTCTGTCTCCTGCTTCCTGGGTGGAGTGAGTGGGTTGATTTTTCTCTCCTGAGTGTGGTTAAGGCACATTCTGCTTTTCTTATGGGACTTCGGCCCTCCCTCCTTCCCCCAGTATGGATCATCCATATTTCACAAGGCTTTTTCACCCAGAATCACCAGATAAATAGAGACAGACATCCTGTCACAAAAGTTAGGGAGAGAGAGAGAGAGAGAGAGAGAGACAGAGAGAGAGACAGAGAGAGAGACAGAGAGAGAGGGAGAGAGAGTGAGTCTTACATCAATATTTTGGGTGGCATGTGTCTGTTAGCGTGAGGAACTAGGATTTTGTGTGTATATGTATCTATCAGGATGAGTCTGGTGAATGGGACATTGTGTGTGTGTTACTGTGAGTTGGTATGATTTTAGGGTGAGGGTGGGAAACGTGGCTTGTGTGTGTTTTAGTGTGAAGTAGGAGAAGGAGCCAGCTTGTGTTTTCTGAATGAGCCCATGGAACGGGGCATGCGTGTATATTTAGCATGAGCTTGGGGTAGACGGCTTGTGTGTGTTTTAGTGTAAAGCAGAGAAGGTCTTGTTTGTGTTTTGAGGGTGAGCCCAGGGATTCTGGCATGTGTGAGCATATTAGGGTCAAGTTCAGGAGCGGGGAATGTGTGTGTTTTCAAGCTGAGTGTAGGAAACCTGGCATGTGTGTGTGTGTGTTTGGGGTGAAATGGTACTAATCCGACGTCTCAGGAATCCGGCCGCTCCCTCGAAGCACTGAAAGGTGACCCTGAAGCCTAAAATCCTAACCCTAACCCTTTTCCCAAACAGTAACACAAACTCTAACTCTAACCCTAGCCATAACCCCGCCTTGCTTTTCCTCCCTGCCATGGCTAACTCAAAATCATGGCATTTGGGTTCCTCACTGGTAGCCAGACAGACGGACAGACAGACAGGCAGACACACACACACACACACACACACACACACACACACACACACACACAGCAGATTCCAAGTTGCTTACATTGACAGACTTTAGAATATCTTATTAGCTGAGCTGGGAAACCTCCCACCTGCACACCAGGACACCCCCTCTTCCACATGTGTTGGAGTCAGACACTGAAACCCACGACCCTTGGCTGGCCCCAGAACCAACCGGGACTGAGCAGAGGAATGAAAGGAGGGAGGGACAGAGGGACAGATGGACCATGGTCTTTTAGTGGTCCTTCCTTCTTCCTTCCTTCCTTCCTTCCTTCCTTCCTTCCTTCCTTCCTTCCTTTCTTCCTTCCTTCTTTCCTCCCTTCCTTCCTCCCTTGCTTCTGGTCAAATAAGGGGCATGTTGGGAGTTGGAGACCAGCCTAGGCTCCAAAGGGAGCTCAAGGCCAGGCCAAATTGCATCCCTAGAGACCCTGGCTCAAGAAGCGAAAAAAATTAAAAATAAAACAAATAAAAGACACAAAAACATAAATCCTTTATAAATGGTGGGGGAAGTGTGGTTCGAAAGGCCATGGCACCGAGCATTTCTGAGGCGGCGTGGCTGGCAGGATTCCAGTGTATTAAACTGGTGACCTCCCATTTGAAGTGTGGGCACAGGGACCGCTGAGCCAGAGGCCCAGAAGGTTCATGGCTAACTTCCGTTTTTGAATAGAGACAGAGACAGGTGCAGGTTGTCTGTCTGTCTGGCTACACTCCCTCCCTTGTGGGCTAAATGCATCAGCGCTGGCCCCCAGAACACTCCTGAGCCCCTTTCTCTGCCACCTGTGGGAAACAGGCAGGGAGACAGACCAGCTGAAATGGGAGGGGACGGGATGGGAGGTTTGAACTCACATGCAAATTAAAAAGTGACCCCGGACTTAGTCACATCCAGCTCCCACCTCCACCAGCAGCACCCACTGCTCCTTCCTTCCATCTCGGGCTAATCCAGGCTCAGTTCCGAGGGCCCAAACTCCACTCCACACATCTCTCCCTAATTCACCATCAATCCCAAGAGGCTAATGCCCCCACCCTTCCACCCCTTCCCCTGGTCTTGGTGCCTAGGATTGGGGTGGGGGCCCCGAGTTTCTGTCCATCTGTGGGTCCAGCATCAGTATTGAGGAGAGAAGGAGGAGGAGGAGGGAGAAGAATGAAAGGAGGTGAGAGCCGGGGGTGAAATGGAGTGGAGCGCTGGAAAGGCAGAAGCAGCCAGCCACCACCGTGGTCCAAGCAAACAAACCCCCAAACAGCAGAGAGCAGGCAGAGTGAGGAGAGAGGAGAGAGGAGGGAGGGGAAAGCACAGAGACAGAGGGAGACAGAGGGAGAGAGAGAGCAAGCCTGGTGAGGGAGAGAGGAGGAGGGCAGAGGTCCAAAAATGGGCGGGGTGGAGGGACTGATGAATGGAGACAGTGATGATTCTCCCTTTATTGGTTCTTCTGTTCATACATTCCTTCATTCGTTCATTCACTCATTCATTCACTTATTCGTCCCTTGGTTTGCAGGGAGCCTTTCTTTGTTCCTTCCCTTCCTTCCATCTTTATGGGTGAAAGTCAGATGGCTGCCCTGGAGCCTGGTGGGTGTGTGGCCCTAAGAGGCACAGAGGAGAGGCATGAAGGATCCCAGGGCTGGAAGGAAGGGCCCTGCCTACGTGGCAGAGGCTACAATAGCCTGGCAAGAGGGCAGCCCAGAACGTGACCCCTCCACAATGCACGGGGGTGGGGGGGTGGGGGAGGCTGCTCAAGAACCCTCACCTGGCTGTGCTGTGGTGTGTGCTGGATGGCTGTGGTCCCAGTCATCTCCTCTTGCTCATCGTCGTGGGGTCCTGGAAGGCAGGAAGGCCAGCAGGCAGTCAGGCAGGCAGGCAGGTAGGAGCTTCCAGCAGAGCCGGCAGCTTGGAGCTGGGAGGCTGCAGCTGGGGGGGCCAGAGCCCTGAGCCCAGAGAGCTGGGTTCCAGGAACCTGGAGGAAGGCAATGAGCAAGGGTTGAGCAAAGGGTGGGCCAGCAGGTGGCCCAGTAAGTGACCCCAGCACCACACACCACAAAACATCATGGGGGCCCCCAGGCACAAGGACCCTCACCTTGCTGGCTGTCTGGTGGACAGCTGTTGTCCGCCTCAACTCATCGTGGCCCGCATCATCACGGGGTCCTGGAGGGCAGGCAGGCTGGCAGGAGGGAGGAGATGCATGGTGAGCCAGGATCCAGGAGCTGGGAGTGCCAAGTCCCAGGAACCTGGAGGAAAACATGGAGCCAGTGAAGGCTGAGCTGGGGAGGGCAGGGGAGAGGCCCAGAACTCCACCGCACCACTATACACCCCTCCACGGGGGGCAGGCGGGCGGCTCAGTCCAGTGACCCTCACCTCACTCGATGCATGGCAGATGGCTGTTGTCCCCATCTCTTCTTGGTCCGCATTGTCATGGGGTCCCTGAAGTCAGGCAGGTAGCCAGGCAAGCAGGCAGAGCTCCTGGGAGAGCTGGGAGCCAGGAGCTGGGCCAGCAAGAGGGGTCCTGGGAACCTGGAGGGGAATGGAGAGAGAAAGCAGGGAAGGGGAGCTCTGGAGGGCCAGCCAGAGGTCTGGCTGTGTGGGCTGGTTAACTCCTGCTGCATGGTGTCTGGTGCCTGAGCTTGTTAAGGCTTGAGGTCAGTCAGGGAGAATGCATGGGAAACCCTGGAGCCCAGGAGCCCAAGATCTGGCCACGCCCGTGCAGCCCAGCTAATCCCTCCATGCTGGCTGCAGATCCCATCAACCTGGCCCCTAATCCTTTCATCTCCTCCTGTGGCACCACCCTGGTGTCCCGGAAGTCCCCTTTCCCTTCACTCACTTCCTGGCTCGCTCATTGGCTGAGGAGGAGGATGGCATTATGGGGTGGACTCAGGATTTCAGAGGCAGGGTTTTCATTTCATTTTTTTTTCTTGGTCTTTTTCATTTTTATCTGTACCGGGGATCGAATTCAGGACCCCCTGCTTGCAAGGCAGGTGTTTATGCCGCTGAGTTAAACACCCAGCCCCCAGGATTTTCATTTTAAAAAAGTGGAAAAGAATATGGGGCTGATTAGGGATTAGGGCTGAGAGGGCAGAGAGCCATCAGCGTGTGGGGATCAGCAGGGTGTACTCCACAGAACTCTGGATGGGAGAATCACCAAAATGGGATGGCCACGTGGACAGTGAGGACTAGGAGGGAGGGTGGCCTGTGCTGATGCCCCTGGGTGAAGGCAAGGAGGCTGGCAGCCAGGCCAGGAGCACAGAGGAAGGCAAGCAGCCAGGGAAGGAAGGGGGCCCGGGAAGCAAGGACATCAGGGAGGCAATCCAGGGCAGACAGAGGAGGCGGAGAAGCCTGGGGAGGCAGAGCAGCACCCAGGGACCAGGAAGGAAGGCAAGGAGGAGCCAGGGAGCCCAGGGAGCCTGGGAAGAAGGGGTGTCAGGGAAGCCAGGAGGGAGACTGGGGAAGCCAGCCAGGGCAGCCAGAAGAGGCAGAGAGGATAGAGGAGGCAGGGCACCCAGGGAGCTCAGGGAACCCAGAAATCCCAGACAAAGTAGGGTTTAAAGCCAGGCAGGGAACCTTGACTGAACTCTGCCCAATCTTGGAAGGCAGAGAGCCAGCGACTCAGGGACTCAGGAGAACCTCGGAGGCCTTGGATGCTGAGAGGAAGCAGGAAAGCCTCGGAGAATTCGATGTTCAGTCAGCAGACAGACTTTTCCCACTTGGAAAATTTCACCTAGGCTGTGGAATTCATGGTGCATGAACCCACAGCAGATCCAATCCAGCCTGGGGTGTGGCATGGCTGCTGGGGCGTGGCAGCCCATTGCCTCCCTAAATCCCTGCCTGTTAAGCCCAGAGGCTGGCTAAACTGCAACCCTGCGCTAATTCTAACCCAGGCCATCCTAACCCTAGCTGCCTGGGGTCCACTGGCCTGCCCTAATCCAGCACTCCTCTAGCTAAGCCTCCGGAACCAACACCCTGTTGCCACCCTACTCCACTCCCTGCATCCTGTCTGCCACTCCCAGGCAGCCCACTCACTCACTCAGTCCCCTCCACTCTGTGCCCAGCCTCCAAGAGCCCAGAGACCACAGCACAGAAACCAGAGCACAGAGCCCAGAGCCAAAAGGCAAGAATGTAAAACTTCAAAGAGCAGAGGTCCTGAGAAAAGCAAAGAAAGAGACAGAGACAGAGATGGAGAAACAGCCAGAGACAGAGATGTCCAAAGAGTTAAAGGGCCCCCCGGAGAATAGCACAGAGGGGACAGCCCAGCCAGTGGTAAATGGGAAAGGAGGGGGGGGGGATAAACTGGGGAATGAGGGATGGAGGGAGGGATCCAAAAGAGGCAAAGGGACTGAAGACAGACAGGGCAATCCCAGCAGCAAGACCCAGGCAGAGGCTTAGATTAGAATCCACTGAGCTGAGCTGAGCTGAGCTGCTGTGTGTGTTAGGCTCATGGTTGATGATCAGGGCATAGGTGTGTGTGTGTGTATGTGTGTGTGTGTGTGTGTGTGTGTGTGTGTGTGTGTGTGTCTGTGTGATGTTACAGTCTGTAAAAGAGTGGGGAAGGCCCCAGTTAACAGAGACATGGGTGAGGCTGCACAAACAACTGAGACCCAGCCCCAAAAAGCCCAGGGGAAGGTAAGAAAGCAGAGAGAGACTGAAAGCAGCCCAGGGAGGGAGAAAACCCGAGAGAGTGAAAAAAGACTGCAGCTCCTCCCCCTGCAAACAAAACCAGAGAGAACCCAAACTAGGCAAAGGCCAGAGGAAAGCAGAGACAGAGAAAGACAGAGAAACAGACAGAGACAGAGACAGTGACAGAGACAGAGAGACAGACAGAGAGAGTGAGGCAGAAAGAGTCTAAGGGCTCAGAGAAAGGTACAGAGAGTGTGCAGATGGGTGGTAAAAGGGACAGGACTGGGGATGAAAACAGGGAGGGATCGGAGAGAGGATCCAAAGGTGTTTGTGTAGGACAGATGTGGGAATCCCAGCAGACAGGCAGGAAGAGGAGTAGGTAGATCTGGGATCCATCAGCAGAGCTCAGCTGAGCCCTGAGTGTTAGGCTCTCGGGTGAAGATCAAGGCATAAGGGTGTGTGTGGTGTTAGGGTCTGAGAAAAAGCAGGGAGGAGAGAGTGAAAAAAGGCATAGGGCCACAAGGACAGCTGAGAGACAGCTAAAAGCAAGGCCCCTTGCACGACAAAAAGCAGAGAGAGAGAGAGAGAGACAGAGAGAGAGAGAGAGAGAGAGAGAGAGAGCAAACAGAGAGAAACGGGTCCCAAGTGGGTTCATGGATGATGATCTAGGAGTCAGTCCAATCAGGGGGCAAATGGATAGACAGACACATGTGGGGTTTATGGAGCCCAGCTGAGCAGAGCCAAGTGAAGCAGAGCAGTGCAGTGCTGAGCCGAGCTGAGCTTCATATGCCAGTTTTATAGGTGATGATCAGGACATCTGTGTGGGTTGTTAGAGTTGGGGTGTGGGTGGATGCGGGGGGAGCATGTTTGTGTTGTGAACCTGCACTCATCAGTGCCCAGTGTGAGCGCAGGAGGCTGGGAGCCAGGGAGCCAAGCCTGAACACTCTTTCTGTGTTTTTTCACGGATCTCTGGATCTGAGAACCACCAAACCAAACAGGCAGACAGGTATCCCACTGGAAATGACATTCAGCTAGAGGTTGACATGGATTTTCACTCAGCATCAGACAGACAGACAGACACCTTTCTCCTCCCGCCTCCTTTGGTGAAGTAAGAGGGCTGATTTTTGTCTCCTGTGTGAGGCAGGCCTGGGGAAGGGGCGTGGTTCACCCTGCTGGCTGGCTCCTTTTGCTGCTCTGATGGGACTTTTAAGGTGAGCCAGTGATTTCTCCATGTTTCAGGATGCTACGTTAGGAAAAGAGAAATGCAATAAATTTTTCCATGGGGAACAATTCAACTAGACTGTCAAGTTGCTTTTTGGTACAACACAGCAACTTCCTCTAGGGTGGGGTTGATTCTAATCCAGCATCTAAACTGGCATTCCTTTGTGGTGGGTGGGGGATGGAGTAGGAGGTGGGGGTTCATGTGAATAGGGGCTTCTCTAAGCCACTGGCTCCCTAATCCCAGCAGATCTCTAACCCTCACCCCTCTGGTAGACCTAACATGAACCCCCCCAGGGCCACTCCCGCAACTTAATACACTGCTCCCCAAATCCTCAACAACCACCTCCTGGCTCTAGAAGTCCTGCTGGAAGTGACTTAATTAGAATCTGACATTCATCAGTGATGGGTGGGCTCATCAGAACTAGAGGTCTTCAGTCCCCCTCCCAGTTGGAGGGTGGAACTATATGGGTCACACTAGGCTGTGCTCTACAGAGAGATTCAGTCCCTTTAGAGGGTACTGGCACTGCTCTTTCCTCAACCTCAGAGGAGGAGCCAATATCAGGCTGCTCTGTGACCCCAACAACCTTCCATTGTTAGCCCTGGAGGGTAGCTAGTGGGCATGATGCAGACCATCGTATGAGCCTGAAGGATCTATGCAGAGCCCAGGATGAAGGTAAGGGTAGGGGGAAAAGACCCCAACATTGGAGGCCCCATGGAGGCAGGCAAGACCAACAGCAGGAATTCATTCCAGGGGCTGTGCCTGCTCTCAGAAGGACCCAGGCCAGTCCTGGCACACACTGGATGCTGACCCAGCCCTATACACACACAACCCTGAGTTCCCCTACATGCAGCCCAAAGACAGAGACAGCCAACAACACGTGGCACCACCTCTCTCCTGTCTGTCATCAGACACAGCCACCGCTTGCTATGGCACCCTTGGTGGCAGGTAACAAGGTAACTCCCTTCTGATCAGACAGATAGACAGAGGGTGACAAGGCTGCAGGTTCCTCGAAGACATGGGCCCCAGGAAAATGTGCCCATCTGTGTGTCGGTACAGTTCTTCTGTCTTCACTTGCCACAGACAGGTGAACCAGTCCATGTGACCCTCACGTCCATTTGTGTGTCAGCTGTGCGGGTGCCCCCTGGTGCTCCCCGATGGCCTCCTTCCTTGGTCATAGCCTTCCTTACGAATCTCCTGACCCCTTGGCCCGAACATGTAGGAGGGCCCTGCTGGGGCAAGGCATCCCCCACACACTCACACACACGTGCACAGTAGAAACGGGCAGGATACATATCTATAGCCATCCGAGGGTCCTGGCACCACCTCAGAGGGTACTGGTGTCCAGCAGCAGCCATCAGAGATTGGTATGGAACCCAGTGGCCTCCAGTCTCCGACCTAAGCCGCAGTGCCACGTGGGAAACCTTCCCTGCACAAAGTATATGCTCTGGGATCTGAGCCTATAGATGCTCATGGTCTACACCAACAGCCAGCCCAGGTGGTCATCTGCAAAAGAGAGAGAGAGAGAAATAGCCCCCATCACTGTGTCATCAGCTTCCCTGCCTGCCACGCTCTCCTCAGATGAGACAGCGCCATCTGGTTGCTAGAGTGGACATGCACATCCTCCTCTTCTGCCCAAATGAGACAGCGCCCCTGTTGCTAAAGAGGACAGGTACATTATCCCAGAGGTACCGCCAGGGTCCAAGTTCTCTGACAACCTCCAGTCTCTTATGGATGAAAACAGAGATGGGGAAGAAACACTGGCCTCAGATGCAAGGCCACAGGCAACCCCAGAAAGATGCCAGTCCTCAGGAAAGCCAGTGTCAGAGCACCTTCCTTAGCTTCCACTGCCTAAAACCCTGACACTGAGCCTAAGCCTAAGCCTAACGCTCCCAAATGAGGTGCCGTCCTCCCTCCTGTTTCCCCCTCCAACACGGGACAGGTCCATTCCAAAAGAATGTGTCGCGTGCAGTATCTGTGATGTCTTTCTCTGCTTCTATGTCTGTCTCTGGACTTAAGAATCTTCCACTGTGGCTGGGTTCGCAAGCTTTGCCCTCTGGTGGCCAAAACATGGAACAGGCGGCAGCATCTGAGTGAACTGGAAAGTGACAGAGTCTCTGAAGGAGAGAATCCCAAAAGACATCCTGATACTGTTCCAAACAATTTGGCTCGAATCTTTCAGTCATTTTCAGTTGACCCACACCTGAATCCTGCTTCTTTGGGTGAGAAGGTTTCCATGTTTTTGTCAATCTGTAGGTACCACAGCTCATTCTAGATTTCCGATGGGACTTGTATTCTGAGTCACCTTCCATTTTCTTGGGTCAAATTCAGGGCACTAGTAAAATGAAATTCTGGGCTTGTTGCTGATGCTGTCAGTTATGCCAAGCTACAACATGGGTCAGAGAGCAAAGAGATGCAAAAGATCTGAAGTGAGTTCGTGAATGACAGACACACAGAGGAATCCGAGCAGCAGGATGGATGCATTTGCAGTCCAGTGAGATGAGCTGAGCTTAGCTGGCCTGCACTGAGTGACCACCACTGGCCTGGATCACTGGTTTCCAAAGTCTCAGAGAGTCGCTGGTCAGCCTGGAGCCAGCAAAAAATATCACAAAGACTTTGAACAGTGAACCACCAGAAGGAAAGATGTCCTCCTGCAAAGGATTTAGTGAGAGTCTGACACCCAGTCAGACAGACAGACAGACAGACAGACAAACACCTGATCTGTGTGTCTTCTGCTTCCTGGGTGGAGTGAGTGGGTTGATTTTACTCTCCTGCGGGTGGTTAAGGCTCATTCTGCTTTTCTCATGGGACTTCGGCCCTACCTTTCTCCCCAAGTGTGGATCGTCCATATTTCACAAGGGTTTTTCACCCAGAACCGCCAGCAAAATACAGACAGATATCCTGTCACAAAAGTGAGAGAGAGAGAGAGAGAGAGAGAGAGAGAGAGAGAGAGAGAGAGAGCAAGAGAGAGAGAGAGAGAGAGGGAGAGAGAGCGAGTCTTGCATCAATATTTGGGGTGGCATGTGTCTGTTAGCGTGAGGAACTAGGATTGTGCGTGTGTATGTATCTATTAGGATGAGTCTGGTGAGTGGGACATTGTGTGTGTGTTACTGTGAGTTGGTATGATTTTAGGGTGAGGGTGGGAAACGTGGCTTGTGTGTGTGTTTTAGTGTGAAGTAGGAGAAGGAGCCAGCTTGTGTTTTCCGAATGAGCCCATGGAACGGGCATGTGTGTATATTTAGCATGAGCTTTGGGTAGACGGCTTGTGTGTGTTTTGAGGGTGAGCCCAGGGATTCTGGCATGTGTGAGCATATTAGGGTGAAGTTCAGGAGCGGGGAATGTGTGTGTTTTCAAGCTGAGTGTAGGAAACCGGGCATGTGTGTGTGTGTGTTTTTGGGGTGAAATGCGACCAATCTGACGTCTCAGGAACTTAGCTGCTCCCTCGGAGCACTGACAGGTCACCCTGAAGCCTGAAATCCTAACCCTAACCCTTTTCTCAAACAGTAACACAAACCCTAACTCGAACCCTAGCCCTAACCCCGCCTTGCTTGTCCTCCCTCCCATGGCTAACTCAAAATCATGGCATTTGGGTTCATCACTGGTAGACAGGCAGAAAGACAGACAGACAGACAGACAGGCAGACACACACACACACACACAGACACACACACACACAGACACACACACACAGCAGATTCCAAGCTGCTTACATTGACAGGCTTTGGAATATCTTATTAGCTGAGCTGGGAAACCTCCCACCTGCACACCAGGACACCCCCTCTTCCACATGTGTTGGAGTCAGACACTGAAACCCACGACCCTTGGCTGGCCCCAGAACCAACCGGGACTGAGCAGAGGAATGAAAGGAGGGAGGGACAGAGGGACAGATGGACCATGGTCTTTTAGTGGTCCTTCCTTCTTCCTTCCTTCCTTCCTTCCTTCCTTCCTTCCTTCCTTCCTTCCTTCCTTTCTTCCTTCCTTCTTTCCTCCCTTCCTTCCTCCCTTGCTTCTGGTCAAATAAGGGGCATGTTGGGAGTTGGAGACCAGCCTAGGCTCCAAAGGGAGCTCAAGGCCAGGCCAAATTGCATCCCTAGAGACCCTGGCTCAAGAAGCGAAAAAAATTAAAAATAAAACACATAAAAGACACAAAAACATAAATCCTTTATAAATGATGGGGGAAGTGTGGTTCGAAAGGCCATGGCACCGAGCATTTCTGAGGCGGCGTGGCTGGCAGGATTCCAGTGTATTAAACTGGTGACCTCCCATTTGAAGTGTGGGCACAGGGACCGCTGAGCCAGAGGCCCAGAAGGTTCATGGCTGACGTCAGTTTTTGAATAGAGACAGAGACAGGTGCAGGTTGTCTGTCTGTCTGGCTACACTCCCTCCCTTGTGGGCTAAATGCATCAGCGCTGGCCCCCAGACCACTCCTGAGCCCCTTTCTCTGCCACATGTGGGAAACAGGCAGGGAGACAGACCAGCTGAAATGGGAGGGCACGGGATGGGAGGTTTGAACTCACATGCAAATTAAAAAGTGACCCTGGACTTAGTCACATCCAGCTCCCACCTCCACCAGCAGCACCCACCGCTCCTTCCTTCCATCTCGGGCTAATCCAGGCTCAGTTCCGAGGGCCCAAACTCCACTCCACACATCTCTCCCTAATTCACCATCAATCCCAATAGCCTAATGCCCCCGCCCTTCCCCCCTTCCCTGGTGTTGGTGCCTAGGATTGGGGTGGGGGCCCCGAGTTTCTGTCCATCTGTGGGTCCAGCATCAGTATTGAGGAGAGAAGGAGGAGGAGGAGGGAGAAGAATGAAAGGAGGTGAGAGCCAGGGGTGAAATGGAGTGGAGCGCTGGAAAGGCAGAAGCAGCAGCCACCACCGTGGTCCAAGCAAACAAACCCCCAAACAGCAGAGAGCAGGCAGAGTGAGGAGAGAGGGGAGAGGAGGGAGGGGAAAGCACAGAGAGAGGGAGACAGAGGGAGAGAGAGAGCAAGCCTAGAGAGGGAGAGAGGAGGAGGGCAGAGGTCCAAAAATGGGCGGGGTGGAGGGACTGATGAATGGAGACAGTGATGATTCTCCCTTTATTGGTTCTTCTGTTCATACATTCCTTCATTCGTTCATTCACTCATTCATTCACTTATTCGTCCCTTGGTTTGCAGGGAGCCTTTCTTTGTTCCTTCCCTTCCTTCCATCTTTATGGGTGAAAGTCAGATGGCTGCCCTGGAGCCTGGTGGGTGTGTGGCCCTAAGAGGCACAGAGGAGAGGCATGAAGGATCCCAGGGCTGGAAGGAAGGGCCCTGCCTACGTGGCAGAGGCTACAATAGCCTGGCAAGAGGGCAGCCCAGAACGTGACCCCTCCACAATGCACGGGGGTGGGGGGGGTGGGGGAGGCTGCTCAAGAACCCTCACCTGGCTGTGCTGTGGTGTGTGCTGGATGGCTGTGGTCCCCCTCATCTCCTCTTGCTCATCGTCGTGGGGTCCTGGAAGGCAGGAAGGCCAGCAGGCAGTCAGGCAGGCAGGCAGGTAGGAGCTTCCAGCAGAGCCGGCAGCTTGGAGCTGGGAGGCTGCAGCTGGGGGGGCCAGAGCCCTGAGCCCAGAGAGCTGGGTTCCAGGAACCTGGAGGAAGGCAATGAGCAAGGGTTGAGCAAAGGGTGGGCCAGCGGGTGGCCCAGTAAGTGACCCCAGCACCACACACCACAAAACATCATGGGGGCCCCCAGGCACAAGGACCCTCACCTTGCTGGCTGTCTGGTGGACAGCTGTTGTCCGCCTCAACTCATCGTGGCCCGCATCATCACGGGGTCCTGGAGGGCAGGCAGGCTGGCAGGAGGGAGGAGATGCATGGTGAGCCAGGATCCAGGAGCTGGGAGTGCCAAGTCCCAGGAACCTGGAGGAAAACATGGAGCCAGTGAAGGCTGAGCTGGGGAGGGCAGGGGAGAGGCCCAGAACTCCACCGCACCACTATACACCCCTCCACGGGGGGCAGGCGGGCGGCTCAGTCCAGTGACCCTCACCTCACTCGATGCATGGCAGATGGCTGTTGTCCCCATCTCTTCTTGGTCCGCATTGTCATGGGGTCCCTGAAGTCAGGCAGGTAGCCAGGCAAGCAGGCAGAGCTCCTGGGAGAGCTGGGAGCCAGGAGCTGGGCCAGCAAGATGGGTCCTGGGAACCTGGAGGGGAATGGAGAGAGAAAGCAGGGAAGGGGAGCTCTGGAGGGCCAGCCAGAGGTCTGGCTGTGTGGGCTGGTTAACTCCTGCTGCATGGTGTCTGGTGCCTGAGCTTGTTAAGGCTTGAGGTCAGTCAGGGAGAATGCATGGGAAACCCTGGAGCCCAGGAGCCCAAGATCTGGCCACGCCCGTGCAGCCCAGCTAATCCCTCCATGCTGGCTGCAGATCCCATCAACCTGGCCCCTAATCCTTTCATCTCCTCCTGTGGCACCACCCTGGTGTCCCGGAAGTCCCCTTTCCCTTCACTCACTTCCTGGCTCGCTCATTGGCTGAGGAGGAGGATGGCATTATGGGGTGGACTCAGGATTTCAGAGGCAGGGTTTTCATTTCATTTTTTTTTCTTGGTCTTTTTCATTTTTATCTGTACCGGGGATCGAATTCAGGACCCCCTGCTTGCAAGGCAGGTGTTTATGCCGCTGAGTTAAACACCCAGCCCCCAGGATTTTCATTTTAAAAAAGTGGAAAAGAATATGGGGCTGATTAAGGATTAGGGCTGAGAGGGCAGAGAGCCATCAGCGAGTGGGGATCAGCAGGGTGTACTCCAAAGAACTCTGGATGGGAGAATCACCAAAATGGGATGGCCACGTGGACAGTGAGGACTAGGAGGGAGGGTGGCCTGTGCTGATGCCCCTGGGTGAAGGCAAGGAGGCTGGCAGCCAGGCCAGGAGCACAGAGGAAGGCAAGCAGCCAGGGAAGGAAGGGGGCCCGGGAAGCAAGGACATCAGGGAGGCAATCCAGGGCAGACAGAGGAGGCGGAGAAGCCTGGGGAGGCAGAGCAGCACCCAGGGACCACGAAGGAAGGCAAGGAGGAGCCAGGGAGCCCAGGGAGCCTGGGAAGAAGGGGTGCCAGGGAAGCCAGGAGGGAGACTGGGGAAGCCAGCCAGGGCAGCCAGAAGAGGCAGAGAGGATAGAGGAGGCAGGGCACCCAGGGAGCTCAGGGAACCCAGAAATCCCAGACAAAGCAGGGTTTAAAGCCAGGCAGGGAACCTTGACTGAACTCTGCCCAATCTTGGAAATCAGAAAGCCAGGGACTCAGGGACACAGGAGAACCTCGGAGGCCTTGGATGCTGAGAGGAAGCAGGAAAGCCTCGGAGAATTCGATGTTCAGTCAGCAGACAGACTTTTCCCACTTGGAAAATTTCACCTAGGCTGTGGAATTCATGGTGCATGAACCCACAGCAGATCCAATCCAGCCTGGGGTGTGGCATGGCTGCTGGGGCGTGGCAGCCCATTGCCTCCCTAAATCCCTGCCTGTTAAGCCCAGAGGCTGGCTAAACTGCAACCCTGCGCTAATTCTAACCCAGGCCATCCTAACCCTAGCTGCCTGGGGTCCACTGGCCTGCCCTAATCCAGCACTCCTCTAGCTAAGCCTCCGGAACCAACACCCTGTTGCCACCCTACTCCACTCCCTGCATCCTGTCTGCCACTCCCAGGCAGCCCACTCACTCACTCAGTCCCCTCCACTCTGTGCCCAGCCTCCAAGAGCCCAGAGACCACAGCACAGAAACCAGAGCACAGAGCCCAGAGCCAAAAGGCAAGAATGTAAAACTTCAAAGAGCAGAGGTCCTGAGAAAAGCAAAGAAAGAGACAGAGACAGAGATGGAGAAACAGCCAGAGACAGAGATGTCCAAAGAGTTAAAGGGCCCCCCGGAGAATAGCACAGAGGGGACAGCCCAGCCAGTGGTAAATGGGAAAGGAGGGGGGGGGGATAAACTGGGGAATGAGGGATGGAGGGAGGGATCCAAAAGAGGCAAAGGGACTGAAGACAGACAGGGCAATCCCAGCAGCAAGACCCAGGCAGAGGCTTAGATTAGAATCCACTGAGCTGAGCTGAGCTGAGCTGCTGTGTGTGTTAGGCTCATGGTTGATGATCAGGGCATAGGTGTGTGTGTGTGTGTATGTGTGTGTGTGTGTGTGTGTGTGTGTGTGTGTGTGTGTGTGTCTGTGTGATGTTACGGTCTGTAAAAGAGTGGGGAAGGCCCCAGTTAACAGAGACATGGGTGAGGCTGCACAAACAACTGAGACCCAGCCCCAAAAAGCCCAGGGGAAGGTAAGAAAGCAGAGAGAGACTGAAAGCAGCCCAGGGAGGGAGAAAACCCGAGAGAGTGAAAAAAGACTGCAGCTCCTCCCCCTGCAAACAAAACCAGAGAGAACCCAAACTAGGCAAAGGCCAGAGGAAAGCAGAGACAGAGAAAGACAGAGAAACAGACAGAGACAGAGACAGTGACAGAGACAGAGAGACAGACAGAGAGAGTGAGGCAGAAAGAGTCTAAGGGCTCAGAGAAAGGTACAGAGAGTGTGCAGATGGGTGGTAAAAGGGACAGGACTGGGGATGAAAACAGGGAGGGATCGGAGAGAGGATCCAAAGGTGTTTGTGTAGGACAGATGTGGGAATCCCAGCAGACAGGCAGGAAGAGGAGTAGGTAGATCTGGGATCCATCAGCAGAGCTCAGCTGAGCCCTGAGTGTTAGGCTCTCGGGTGAAGATCAAGGCATAAGGGTGTGTGTGGTGTTAGGGTCTGAGAAAAAGCAGGGAGGAGAGAGTGAAAAAAGGCATAGGGCCACAAGGACAGCTGAGAGACAGCTAAAAGCAAGGCCCCTTGCACGACAAAAAGCAGAGAGAGAGAGAGAGAGAGACAGAGAGAGAGAGAGAGAGAGCAAACAGAGAGAAACGGGTCCCAAGTGGGTTCATGGATGATGATCTAGGAGTCAGTCCAATCAGGGGGCAAATGGATAGACAGACACATGTGGGGTTTATGGAGCCCAGCTGAGCAGAGCCAAGTGAAGCAGAGCAGTGCAGTGCTGAGCCGAGCTGAGCTTCATATGCCAGTTTTATAGGTGATGATCAGGACATCTGTGTGGGTTGTTAGAGTTGGGGTGTGGGTGGATGCGGGGGGAGCATGTTTGTGTTGTGAACCTGCACTCATCAGTGCCCAGTGTGAGCGCAGGAGGCTGGGAGCCAGGGAGCCAAGCCTGAACACTCTTTCTGTGTTTTTTCACGGATCTCTGGATCTGAGAACCACCAAACCAAACAGGCAGACAGGTATCCCACTGGAAATGACATTCAGCTAGAGGTTGACATGGATTTTCACTCAGCATCAGACAGACAGACAGACACCTTTCTCCTCCCGCCTCCTTTGGTGAAGTAAGAGGGCTGATTTTTGTCTCCTGTGTGAGGCAGGCCTGGGGAAGGGGCGTGGTTCACCCTGCTGGCTGGCTCCTTTTGCTGCTCTGATGGGACTTTTAAGGTGAGCCAGTGATTTCTCCATGTTTCAGGATGCTACGTTAGGAAAAGAGAAATGCAATAAATTTTTCCATGGGGAACAATTCAACTAGACTGTCAAGTTGCTTTTTGGTACAACACAGCAACTTCCTCTAGGGTGGGGTTGATTCTAATCCAGCATCTAAACTGGCATTCCTTTGTGGTGGGTGGGGGATGGAGTAGGAGGTGGGGGTTCATGTGAATAGGGGCTTCTCTAAGCCACTGGCTCCCTAATCCCAGCAGATCTCTAACCCTCACCCCTCTGGTAGACCTAACATGAACCCCCCCAGGGCCACTCCCGCAACTTAATACACTGCTCCCCAAATCCTCAACAACCACCTCCTGGCTCTAGAAGTCCTGCTGGAAGTGACTTAATTAGAATCTGACATTCATCAGTGATGGGTGGGCTCATCAGAACTAGAGGTCTTCAGTCCCCCTCCCAGTTGGAGGGTGGAACTATATGGGTCACACTAGGCTGTGCTCTACAGAGAGATTCAGTCCCTTTAGAGGGTACTGGCACTGCTCTTTCCTCAACCTCAGAGGAGGAGCCAATATCAGGCTGCTCTGTGACCCCAACAACCTTCCATTGTTAGCCCTGGAGGGTAGCTAGTGGGCATGATGCAGACCATCGTATGAGCCTGAAGGATCTATGCAGAGCCCAGGATGAAGGTAAGGGTAGGGGGAAAAGACCCCAACATTGGAGGCCCCATGGAGGCAGGCAAGACCAACAGCAGGAATTCATTCCAGGGGCTGTGCCTGCTCTCAGAAGGACCCAGGCCAGTCCTGGCACACACTGGATGCTGACCCAGCCCTATACACACACAACCCTGAGTTCCCCTACATGCAGCCCAAAGACAGAGACAGCCAACAACACGTGGCACCACCTCTCTCCTGTCTGTCATCAGACACAGCCACCGCTTGCTATGGCACCCTTGGTGGCAGGTAACAAGGTAACTCCCTTCTGATCAGACAGATAGACAGAGGGTGACAAGGCTGCAGGTTCCTCGAAGACATGGGCCCCAGGAAAATGTGCCCATCTGTGTGTCGGTACAGTTCTTCTGTCTTCACTTGCCACAGACAGGTGAACCAGTCCATGTGACCCTCACGTCCATTTGTGTGTCAGCTGTGCGGGTGCCCCCTGGTGCTCCCCGATGGCCTCCTTCCTTGGTCATAGCCTTCCTTACGAATCTCCTGACCCCTTGGCCCGAACATGTAGGAGGGCCCTGCTGGGGCAAGGCATCCCCCACACACTCACACACACGTGCACAGTAGAAACGGGCAGGATACATATCTATAGCCATCCGAGGGTCCTGGCACCACCTCAGAGGGTACTGGTGTCCAGCAGCAGCCATCAGAGATTGGTATGGAACCCAGTGGCCTCCAGTCTCCGACCTAAGCCGCAGTGCCACGTGGGAAACCTTCCCTGCACAAAGTATATGCTCTGGGATCTGAGCCTATAGATGCTCATGGTCTACACCAACAGCCAGCCCAGGTGGTCATCTGCAAAAGAGAGAGAGAGAGAAATAGCCCCCATCACTGTGTCATCAGCTTCCCTGCCTGCCACGCTCTCCTCAGATGAGACAGCGCCATCTGGTGGCTAGAGTGGACATGCACATCCTCCTCTTCTGCCCAAATGAGACAGCGCCCCTGTTGGCTAAAGAGGACAGGTACATTATCCCAGAGGTACCGCCAGGGTCCAAGTTCTCTGACAACCTCCAGTCTCTTATGGATGAAAACAGAGATGGGGAAGAAACACTGGCCTCAGATGCAAGGCCACAGGCAACCCCAGAAAGATGCCAGTCCTCAGGAAAGCCAGTGTCAGAGCACCTTCCTTAGCTTCCACTGCCTAAAACCCTGACACTGAGCCTAAGCCTAAGCCTAACGCTCCCAAATGAGGTGCCGTCCTCCCTCCTGTTTCCCCCTCCAACACGGGACAGGTCCATTCCAAAAGAATGTGTCGCGTGCAGTATCTGTGATGTCTTTCTCTGCTTCTATGTCTGTCTCTGGACTTAAGAATCTTCCACTGTGGCTGGGTTCGCAAGCTTTGCCCTCTGGTGGCCAAAACATGGAACAGGCGGCAGCATCTGAGTGAACTGGAAAGTGACAGAGTCTCTGAAGGAGAGAATCCCAAAAGACATCCTGATACTGTTCCAAACAATTTGGCTCGAATCTTTCAGTCATTTTCAGTTGACCCACACCTGAATCCTGCTTCTTTGGGTGAGAAGGTTTCCATGTTTTTGTCAATCTGTAGGTACCACAGCTCATTCTAGATTTCCGATGGGACTTGTATTCTGAGTCACCTTCCATTTTCTTGGGTCAAATTCAGGGCACTAGTAAAATGAAATTCTGGGCTTGTTGCTGATGCTGTCAGTTATGCCAAGCTACAACATGGGTCAGAGAGCAAAGAGATGCAAAAGATCTGAAGTGAGTTCGTGAATGACAGACACACAGAGGAATCCGAGCAGCAGGATGGATGCATTTGCAGTCCAGTGAGATGAGCTGAGCTTAGCTGGCCTGCACTGAGTGACCACCACTGGCCTGGATCACTGGTTTCCAAAGTCTCAGAGAGTCGCTGGTCAGCCTGGAGCCAGCAAAAAATATCACAAAGACTTTGAACAGTGAACCACCAGAAGGAAAGATGTCCTCCTGCAAAGGATTTAGCGAGAGTCTGACACCCAGTCAGACAGACAGACAGACAGACAGACAAACACCTGATCTGTGTGTCTTCTGCTTCCTGGGTGGAGTGAGTGGGTTGATTTTACTCTCCTGCGGGTGGTTAAGGCTCATTCTGCTTTTCTCATGGGACTTCGGCCCTACCTTTCTCCCCAAGTGTGGATCGTCCATATTTCACAAGGGTTTTTCACCCAGAACCGCCAGCAAAATACAGACAGATATCCTGTCACAAAAGTGAGAGAGAGAGAGAGAGAGAGAGAGAGAGAGAGAGAGAGAGCAAGAGAGAGAGAGAGAGAGAGGGAGAGAGAGCGAGTCTTGCATCAATATTTGGGGTGGCATGTGTCTGTTAGCGTGAGGAACTAGGATTGTGCGTGTGTATGTATCTATTAGGATGAGTCTGGTGAGTGGGACATTGTGTGTGTGTTACTGTGAGTTGGTATGATTTTAGGGTGAGGGTGGGAAACGTGGCTTGTGTGTGTGTTTTAGTGTGAAGTAGGAGAAGGAGCCAGCTTGTGTTTTCCGAATGAGCCCATGGAACGGGCATGTGTGTATATTTAGCATGAGCTTTGGGTAGACGGCTTGTGTGTGTTTTGAGGGTGAGCCCAGGGATTCTGGCATGTGTGAGCATATTAGGGTGAAGTTCAGGAGCGGGGAATGTGTGTGTTTTCAAGCTGAGTGTAGGAAACCGGGCATGTGTGTGTGTGTGTTTTTGGGGTGAAATGCGACCAATCTGACGTCTCAGGAACTTAGCTGCTCCCTCGGAGCACTGACAGGTCACCCTGAAGCCTGAAATCCTAACCCTAACCCTTTTCTCAAACAGTAACACAAACCCTAACTCGAACCCTAGCCCTAACCCCGCCTTGCTTGTCCTCCCTCCCATGGCTAACTCAAAATCATGGCATTTGGGTTCATCACTGGTAGACAGGCAGAAAGACAGACAGACAGACAGACAGGCAGACACACACACACACACAGACACACACACACACAGACACACACACACAGCAGATTCCAAGCTGCTTACATTGACAGGCTTTGGAATATCTTATTAGCTGAGCTGGGAAACCTCCCACCTGCACACCAGGACACCCCCTCTTCCACATGTGTTGGAGTCAGACACTGAAACCCACGACCCTTGGCTGGCCCCAGAACCAACCGGGACTGAGCAGAGGAATGAAAGGAGGGAGGGACAGAGGGACAGATGGACCATGGTCTTTTAGTGGTCCTTCCTTCTTCCTTCCTTCCTTCCTTCCTTCCTTCCTTCCTTCCTTCCTTCCTTCCTTTCTTCCTTCCTTCTTTCCTCCCTTCCTTCCTCCCTTGCTTCTGGTCAAATAAGGGGCATGTTGGGAGTTGGAGACCAGCCTAGGCTCCAAAGGGAGCTCAAGGCCAGGCCAAATTGCATCCCTAGAGACCCTGGCTCAAGAAGCGAAAAAAATTAAAAATAAAACACATAAAAGACACAAAAACATAAATCCTTTATAAATGATGGGGGAAGTGTGGTTCGAAAGGCCATGGCACCGAGCATTTCTGAGGCGGCGTGGCTGGCAGGATTCCAGTGTATTAAACTGGTGACCTCCCATTTGAAGTGTGGGCACAGGGACCGCTGAGCCAGAGGCCCAGAAGGTTCATGGCTGACGTCAGTTTTTGAATAGAGACAGAGACAGGTGCAGGTTGTCTGTCTGTCTGGCTACACTCCCTCCCTTGTGGGCTAAATGCATCAGCGCTGGCCCCCAGACCACTCCTGAGCCCCTTTCTCTGCCACATGTGGGAAACAGGCAGGGAGACAGACCAGCTGAAATGGGAGGGCACGGGATGGGAGGTTTGAACTCACATGCAAATTAAAAAGTGACCCTGGACTTAGTCACATCCAGCTCCCACCTCCACCAGCAGCACCCACCGCTCCTTCCTTCCATCTCGGGCTAATCCAGGCTCAGTTCCGAGGGCCCAAACTCCACTCCACACATCTCTCCCTAATTCACCATCAATCCCAATAGCCTAATGCCCCCGCCCTTCCCCCCCTTCCCTGGTGTTGGTGCCTAGGATTGGGGTGGGGGCCCCGAGTTTCTGTCCATCTGTGGGTCCAGCATCAGTATTGAGGAGAGAAGGAGGAGGAGGAGGGAGAAGAATGAAAGGAGGTGAGAGCCAGGGGTGAAATGGAGTGGAGCGCTGGAAAGGCAGAAGCAGCAGCCACCACCGTGGTCCAAGCAAACAAACCCCCAAACAGCAGAGAGCAGGCAGAGTGAGGAGAGAGGGGAGAGGAGGGAGGGGAAAGCACAGAGAGAGGGAGACAGAGGGAGAGAGAGAGCAAGCCTAGAGAGGGAGAGAGGAGGAGGGCAGAGGTCCAAAAATGGGCGGGCTGGAGGGACTGATGAATGGAGACAGTGATGATTCTCCCTTTATTGGTTCTTCTGTTCATACATTCCTTCATTCGTTCATTCACTCATTCATTCACTTATTCGTCCCTTGGTTTGCAGGGAGCCTTTCTTTGTTCCTTCCCTTCCTTCCATCTTTATGGGTGAAAGTCAGATGGCTGCCCTGGAGCCTGGTGGGTGTGTGGCCCTAAGAGGCACAGAGGAGAGGCATGAAGGATCCCAGGGCTGGAAGGAAGGGCCCTGCCTACGTGGCAGAGGCTACAATAGCCTGGCAAGAGGGCAGCCCAGAACGTGACCCCTCCACAATGCACGGGGGTGGGGGGGGTGGGGGAGGCTGCTCAAGAACCCTCACCTGGCTGTGCTGTGGTGTGTGCTGGATGGCTGTGGTCCCCCTCATCTCCTCTTGCTCATCGTCGTGGGGTCCTGGAAGGCAGGAAGGCCAGCAGGCAGTCAGGCAGGCAGGCAGGTAGGAGCTTCCAGCAGAGCCGGCAGCTTGGAGCTGGGAGGCTGCAGCTGGGGGGGCCAGAGCCCTGAGCCCAGAGAGCTGGGTTCCAGGAACCTGGAGGAAGGCAATGAGCAAGGGTTGAGCAAAGGGTGGGCCAGCGGGTGGCCCAGTAAGTGACCCCAGCACCACACACCACAAAACATCATGGGGGCCCCCAGGCACAAGGACCCTCACCTTGCTGGCTGTCTGGTGGACAGCTGTTGTCCGCCTCAACTCATCGTGGCCCGCATCATCACGGGGTCCTGGAGGGCAGGCAGGCTGGCAGGAGGGAGGAGATGCATGGTGAGCCAGGATCCAGGAGCTGGGAGTGCCAAGTCCCAGGAACCTGGAGGAAAACATGGAGCCAGTGAAGGCTGAGCTGGGGAGGGCAGGGGAGAGGCCCAGAACTCCACCGCACCACTATACACCCCTCCACGGGGGGCAGGCGGGCGGCTCAGTCCAGTGACCCTCACCTCACTCGATGCATGGCAGATGGCTGTTGTCCCCATCTCTTCTTGGTCCGCATTGTCATGGGGTCCCTGAAGTCAGGCAGGTAGCCAGGCAAGCAGGCAGAGCTCCTGGGAGAGCTGGGAGCCAGGAGCTGGGCCAGCAAGATGGGTCCTGGGAACCTGGAGGGGAATGGAGAGAGAAAGCAGGGAAGGGGAGCTCTGGAGGGCCAGCCAGAGGTCTGGCTGTGTGGGCTGGTTAACTCCTGCTGCATGGTGTCTGGTGCCTGAGCTTGTTAAGGCTTGAGGTCAGTCAGGGAGAATGCATGGGAAACCCTGGAGCCCAGGAGCCCAAGATCTGGCCACGCCCGTGCAGCCCAGCTAATCCCTCCATGCTGGCTGCAGATCCCATCAACCTGGCCCCTAATCCTTTCATCTCCTCCTGTGGCACCACCCTGGTGTCCCGGAAGTCCCCTTTCCCTTCACTCACTTCCTGGCTCGCTCATTGGCTGAGGAGGAGGATGGCATTATGGGGTGGACTCAGGATTTCAGAGGCAGGGTTTTCATTTCATTTTTTTTTCTTGGTCTTTTTCATTTTTATCTGTACCGGGGATCGAATTCAGGACCCCCTGCTTGCAAGGCAGGTGTTTATGCCGCTGAGTTAAACACCCAGCCCCCAGGATTTTCATTTTAAAAAAGTGGAAAAGAATATGGGGCTGATTAAGGATTAGGGCTGAGAGGGCAGAGAGCCATCAGCGAGTGGGGATCAGCAGGGTGTACTCCAAAGAACTCTGGATGGGAGAATCACCAAAATGGGATGGCCACGTGGACAGTGAGGACTAGGAGGGAGGGTGGCCTGTGCTGATGCCCCTGGGTGAAGGCAAGGAGGCTGGCAGCCAGGCCAGGAGCACAGAGGAAGGCAAGCAGCCAGGGAAGGAAGGGGGCCCGGGAAGCAAGGACATCAGGGAGGCAATCCAGGGCAGACAGAGGAGGCGGAGAAGCCTGGGGAGGCAGAGCAGCACCCAGGGACCACGAAGGAAGGCAAGGAGGAGCCAGGGAGCCCAGGGAGCCTGGGAAGAAGGGGTGCCAGGGAAGCCAGGAGGGAGACTGGGGAAGCCAGCCAGGGCAGCCAGAAGAGGCAGAGAGGATAGAGGAGGCAGGGCACCCAGGGAGCTCAGGGAACCCAGAAATCCCAGACAAAGCAGGGTTTAAAGCCAGGCAGGGAACCTTGACTGAACTCTGCCCAATCTTGGAAATCAGAAAGCCAGGGACTCAGGGACACAGGAGAACCTCGGAGGCCTTGGATGCTGAGAGGAAGCAGGAAAGCCTCGGAGAATTCGATGTTCAGTCAGCAGACAGACTTTTCCCACTTGGAAAATTTCACCTAGGCTGTGGAATTCATGGTGCATGAACCCACAGCAGATCCAATCCAGCCTGGGGTGTGGCATGGCTGCTGGGGCGTGGCAGCCCATTGCCTCCCTAAATCCCTGCCTGTTAAGCCCAGAGGCTGGCTAAACTGCAACCCTGCGCTAATTCTAACCCAGGCCATCCTAACCCTAGCTGCCTGGGGTCCACTGGCCTGCCCTAATCCAGCACTCCTCTAGCTAAGCCTCCGGAACCAACACCCTGTTGCCACCCTACTCCACTCCCTGCATCCTGTCTGCCACTCCCAGGCAGCCCACTCACTCACTCAGTCCCCTCCACTCTGTGCCCAGCCTCCAAGAGCCCAGAGACCACAGCACAGAAACCAGAGCACAGAGCCCAGAGCCAAAAGGCAAGAATGTAAAACTTCAAAGAGCAGAGGTCCTGAGAAAAGCAAAGAAAGAGACAGAGACAGAGATGGAGAAACAGCCAGAGACAGAGATGTCCAAAGAGTTAAAGGGCCCCCCGGAGAATAGCACAGAGGGGACAGCCCAGCCAGTGGTAAATGGGAAAGGAGGGGGGGGGGATAAACTGGGGAATGAGGGATGGAGGGAGGGATCCAAAAGAGGCAAAGGGACTGAAGACAGACAGGGCAATCCCAGCAGCAAGACCCAGGCAGAGGCTTAGATTAGAATCCACTGAGCTGAGCTGAGCTGAGCTGCTGTGTGTGTTAGGCTCATGGTTGATGATCAGGGCATAGGTGTGTGTGTGTGTGTATGTGTGTGTGTGTGTGTGTGTGTGTGTGTGTGTGTGTGTGTGTGTGTCTGTGTGATGTTACGGTCTGTAAAAGAGTGGGGAAGGCCCCAGTTAACAGAGACATGGGTGAGGCTGCACAAACAACTGAGACCCAGCCCCAAAAAGCCCAGGGGAAGGTAAGAAAGCAGAGAGAGACTGAAAGCAGCCCAGGGAGGGAGAAAACCCGAGAGAGTGAAAAAAGACTGCAGCTCCTCCCCCTGCAAACAAAACCAGAGAGAACCCAAACTAGGCAAAGGCCAGAGGAAAGCAGAGACAGAGAAAGACAGAGAAACAGACAGAGACAGAGACAGTGACAGAGACAGAGAGACAGACAGAGAGAGTGAGGCAGAAAGAGTCTAAGGGCTCAGAGAAAGGTACAGAGAGTGTGCAGATGGGTGGTAAAAGGGACAGGACTGGGGATGAAAACAGGGAGGGATCGGAGAGAGGATCCAAAGGTGTTTGTGTAGGACAGATGTGGGAATCCCAGCAGACAGGCAGGAAGAGGAGTAGGTAGATCTGGGATCCATCAGCAGAGCTCAGCTGAGCCCTGAGTGTTAGGCTCTCGGGTGAAGATCAAGGCATAAGGGTGTGTGTGGTGTTAGGGTCTGAGAAAAAGCAGGGAGGAGAGAGTGAAAAAAGGCATAGGGCCACAAGGACAGCTGAGAGACAGCTAAAAGCAAGGCCCCTTGCACGACAAAAAGCAGAGAGAGAGAGAGAGAGAGACAGAGAGAGAGAGAGAGAGAGCAAACAGAGAGAAACGGGTCCCAAGTGGGTTCATGGATGATGATCTAGGAGTCAGTCCAATCAGGGGGCAAATGGATAGACAGACACATGTGGGGTTTATGGAGCCCAGCTGAGCAGAGCCAAGTGAAGCAGAGCAGTGCAGTGCTGAGCCGAGCTGAGCTTCATATGCCAGTTTTATAGGTGATGATCAGGACATCTGTGTGGGTTGTTAGAGTTGGGGTGTGGGTGGATGCGGGGGGAGCATGTTTGTGTTGTGAACCTGCACTCATCAGTGCCCAGTGTGAGCGCAGGAGGCTGGGAGCCAGGGAGCCAAGCCTGAACACTCTTTCTGTGTTTTTTCACGGATCTCTGGATCTGAGAACCACCAAACCAAACAGGCAGACAGGTATCCCACTGGAAATGACATTCAGCTAGAGTTTGACATGGATTTTCACTCAGCATCAGACAGACAGACAGACACCTTTCTCCTCCCGCCTCCTTTGGTGAAGTAAGAGGGCTGATTTTTGTCTCCTGTGTGAGGCAGGCCTGGGGAAGGGGCGTGGTTCACCCTGCTGGCTGGCTCCTTTTGCTGCTCTGATGGGACTTTTAAGGTGAGCCAGTGATTTCTCCATGTTTCAGGATGCTACGTTAGGAAAAGAGAAATGCAATAAATTTTTCCATGGGGAACAATTCAACTAGACTGTCAAGTTGCTTTTTGGTACAACACAGCAACTTCCTCTCTAGGTGGGGGTGTTTCTAATCCAGCCTCTAAGCTGGCATTCCTTTGTGGTGGGTGGGGGATGGAGTAGGAGGTGGGGGTTCATGTGAATAGGGGCTTCTCTAAGCCACTGGCTCCCTAATCCCAGCAGATCTCTAACCCTCACCCCTCTGGTAGACCTAACATGAACCCCCCAGGGCCACTCCCGCAACTTAATACACTGCTCCCCAAATCCTCAACAACCACCTCCTGGCTCTAGAAGTCCTGCTGGAAGTGACTTAATTAGAATCTGACATTCATCAGTGATGGGTGGGCTCATCAGAACTAGAGGTCTTCAGTCCCCCTCCTAGTTGGAGGGTGGAACTATATGGGTCACACTAGGCTGTGCTCTACAGAGAGATTCAGTCCCTTTAGAGGGTACTGGCACTGCTCTTTCCTCAACCTCAGAGGAGGAGCCAATATCAGGCTGCTCTGTGACCCCAACAACCTTCCATTGTTAGCCCTGGAGGGTAGCTAGTGGGCATGATGCAGACCATCGTATGAGCCTGAAGGATCTATGCAGAGCCCAGGATGAAGGTAAGGGTAGGGGGAAAAGACCCCAACATTGGAGGCCCCATGGAGGCAGGCAAGACCAACAGCAGGAATTCATTCCAGGGGCTGTGCCTGCTCTCAGAAGGACCCAGGCCAGTCCTGGCACACACTGGATGCTGACCCAGCCCTATACACACACAACCCTGAGTTCCCCTACATGCAGCCCAAAGACAGAGACAGCCAACAACACGTGGCACCACCTCTCTCCTGTCTGTCATCAGACACAGCCACCGCTTGCTATGGCACCCTTGGTGGCAGGTAACAAGGTAACTCCCTTCTGATCAGACAGATAGACAGAGGGTGACAAGGCTGCAGGTTCCTCGAAGACATGGGCCCCAGGAAAATGTGCCCATCTGTGTGTCGGTACAGTTCTTCTGTCTTCACTTGCCACAGACAGGTGAACCAGTCCATGTGACCCTCACGTCCATTTGTGTGTCAGCTGTGCGGGTGCCCCCTGGTGCTCCCCGATGGCCTCCTTCCTTGGTCATAGCCTTCCTTACGAATCTCCTGACCCCTTGGCCCGAACATGTAGGAGGGCCCTGCTGGGGCAAGGCATCCCCCACACACTCACACACACGTGCACAGTAGAAACGGGCAGGATACATATCTATAGCCATCCGAGGGTCCTGGCACCACCTCAGAGGGTACTGGTGTCCAGCAGCAGCCATCAGAGATTGGTATGGAACCCAGTGGCCTCCAGTCTCCGACCTAAGCCGCAGTGCCACGTGGGAAACCTTCCCTGCACAAAGTATATGCTCTGGGATCTGAGCCTATAGATGCTCATGGTCTACACCAACAGCCAGCCCAGGTGGTCATCTGCAAAAGAGAGAGAGAGAGAAATAGCCCCCATCACTGTGTCATCAGCTTCCCTGCCTGCCACGCTCTCCTCAGATGAGACAGCGCCATCTGGTTGCTAGAGTGGACATGCACATCCTCCTCTTCTGCCCAAATGAGACAGCGCCCCTGTTGCTAAAGAGGACAGGTACATTATCCCAGAGGTACCGCCAGGGTCCAAGTTCTCTGACAACCTCCAGTCTCTTATGGATGAAAACAGAGATGGGGAAGAAACACTGGCCTCAGATGCAAGGCCACAGGCAACCCCAGAAAGATGCCAGTCCTCAGGAAAGCCAGTGTCAGAGCACCTTCCTTAGCTTCCACTGCCTAAAACCCTGACACTGAGCCTAAGCCTAAGCCTAACGCTCCCAAATGAGGTGCCGTCCTCCCTCCTGTTTCCCCCTCCAACACGGGACAGGTCCATTCCAAAAGAATGTGTCGCGTGCAGTATCTGTGATGTCTTTCTCTGCTTCTATGTCTGTCTCTGGACTTAAGAATCTTCCACTGTGGCTGGGTTCGCAAGCTTTGCCCTCTGGTGGCCAAAACATGGAACAGGCGGCAGCATCTGAGTGAACTGGAAAGTGACAGAGTCTCTGAAGGAGAGAATCCCAAAAGACATCCTGATACTGTTCCAAACAATTTGGCTCGAATCTTTCAGTCATTTTCAGTTGACCCACACCTGAATCCTGCTTCTTTGGGTGAGAAGGTTTCCATGTTTTTGTCAATCTGTAGGTACCACAGCTCATTCTAGATTTCCGATGGGACTTGTATTCTGAGTCACCTTCCATTTTCTTGGGTCAAATTCAGGGCACTAGTAAAATGAAATTCTGGGCTTGTTGCTGATGCTGTCAGTTATGCCAAGCTACAACATGGGTCAGAGAGCAAAGAGATGCAAAAGATCTGAAGTGAGTTCGTGAATGACAGACACACAGAGGAATCCGAGCAGCAGGATGGATGCATTTGCAGTCCAGTGAGATGAGCTGAGCTTAGCTGGCCTGCACTGAGTGACCACCACTGGCCTGGATCACTGGTTTCCAAAGTCTCAGAGAGTCGCTGGTCAGCCTGGAGCCAGCAAAAAATATCACAAAGACTTTGAACAGTGAACCACCAGAAGGAAAGATGTCCTCCTGCAAAGGATTTAGTGAGAGTCTGACACCCAGTCAGACAGACAGACAGACAGACAGACACACACCTGATCTGTGTGTCTTCTGCTTCCTGGGTGGAGTGAGTGGGTTGATTTTACTCTCCTGCGGGTGGTTAAGGCTCATTCTGCTTTTCTCATGGGACTTCGGCCCTACCTTTCTCCCCAAGTGTGGATCGTCCATATTTCACAAGGGTTTTTCACCCAGAACCGCCAGCAAAATACAGACAGATATCCTGTCACAAAAGTGAGAGAGAGAGAGAGAGAGAGAGAGAGAGAGAGAGAGAGAGAGAGCAAGAGAGAGAGAGAGAGAGAGGGAGAGAGAGCGAGTCTTGCATCAATATTTGGGGTGGCATGTGTCTGTTAGCGTGAGGAACTAGGATTGTGCGTGTGTATGTATCTATTAGGATGAGTCTGGTGAGTGGGACATTGTGTGTGTGTTACTGTGAGTTGGTATGATTTTAGGGTGAGGGTGGGAAACGTGGCTTGTGTGTGTGTTTTAGTGTGAAGTAGGAGAAGGAGCCAGCTTGTGTTTTCCGAATGAGCCCATGGAACGGGCATGTGTGTATATTTAGCATGAGCTTTGGGTAGACGGCTTGTGTGTGTTTTGAGGGTGAGCCCAGGGATTCTGGCATGTGTGAGCATATTAGGGTGAAGTTCAGGAGCGGGGAATGTGTGTGTTTTCAAGCTGAGTGTAGGAAACCGGGCATGTGTGTGTGTGTGTTTTTGGGGTGAAATGCGACCAATCTGACGTCTCAGGAACTTAGCTGCTCCCTCGGAGCACTGACAGGTCACCCTGAAGCCTGAAATCCTAACCCTAACCCTTTTCTCAAACAGTAACACAAACCCTAACTCGAACCCTAGCCCTAACCCCGCCTTGCTTGTCCTCCCTCCCATGGCTAACTCAAAATCATGGCATTTGGGTTCATCACTGGTAGACAGGCAGAAAGACAGACAGACAGACAGACAGGCAGACACACACACACACACAGACACACACACACACAGACACACACACACAGCAGATTCCAAGCTGCTTACATTGACAGGCTTTGGAATATCTTATTAGCTGAGCTGGGAAACCTCCCACCTGCACACCAGGACACCCCCTCTTCCACATGTGTTGGAGTCAGACACTGAAACCCACGACCCTTGGCTGGCCCCAGAACCAACCGGGACTGAGCAGAGGAATGAAAGGAGGGAGGGACAGAGGGACAGATGGACCATGGTCTTTTAGTGGTCCTTCCTTCTTCCTTCCTTCCTTCCTTCCTTCCTTCCTTCCTTCCTTCCTTTCTTCCTTCCTTCTTTCCTCCCTTCCTTCCTCCCTTGCTTCTGGTCAAATAAGGGGCATGTTGGGAGTTGGAGACCAGCCTAGGCTCCAAAGGGAGCTCAAGGCCAGGCCAAATTGCATCCCTAGAGACCCTGGCTCAAGAAGCGAAAAAAATTAAAAATAAAACACATAAAAGACACAAAAACATAAATCCTTTATAAATGATGGGGGAAGTGTGGTTCGAAAGGCCATGGCACCGAGCATTTCTGAGGCGGCGTGGCTGGCAGGATTCCAGTGTATTAAACTGGTGACCTCCCATTTGAAGTGTGGGCACAGGGACCGCTGAGCCAGAGGCCCAGAAGGTTCATGGCTGACTTCCGTTTTTGAATAGAGACAGAGACAGGTGCAGGTTGTCTGTCTGTCTGGCTACACTCCCTCCCTTGTGGGCTAAATGCATCAGCGCTGGCACCCAGACCACTCCTGAGCCCCTTTCTCTGCCACATGTGGGAAACAGGCAGGGAGACAGACCAGCTGAAATGGGAGGGGACGGGATGGGAGGTTTGAACTCACATGCAAATTAAAAAGTGACCCTGGACTTAGTCACATCCAGCTCCCACCTCCACCAGCAGCACCCACCGCTCCTTCCTTCCATCTCGGGCTAATCCAGGCTCAGTTCCGAGGGCCCAAACTCCACTCCACACATCTCTCCCTAATTCACCATCAATCCCAAGAGGCTAATGCCCCCACCCTTCCACCCCTTTCCCTGGTCTTGGTGCCTAGGATTGGGGTGGGGGCCCCGAGTTTCTGTCCATCTGTGGGTCCAGCAGAAGTATTGAGGAGAGAAGGAGGAGGAGGAGGGAGAAGAATGAAAGGAGGTGAGAGCCGGGGGTGAAATGGAGTGGAGCGCTGGAAAGGCAGAAGCAGCCAGCCACCACCGTGGTCCAAGCAAACAAACCCCCAAACAGCAGAGAGCAGGCAGAGTGAGGAGAGAGGAGAGAGGAGGGAGGGGAAAGCACAGAGACAGAGGGAGAGAGAGAGCAAGCCTAGAGAGGGAGAGAGGAGGAGGGCAGAGGTCCAAAAATGGGCTGGCTGGAGGGACTGATGAATGGAGACAGTGATGATTCTCCCTTTATTGGTTCTTCTGTTCATACATTCCTTCATTCGTTCATTCACTCATTCATTCACTTATTCGTCCCTTGGTTTGCAGGGAGCCTTTCTTTGTTCCTTCCCTTCCTTGCATCTTTATGGGTGAAAGTCAGATGGCTGCCCTAGAGCCTGGTGGGTGTGTGGCCCTAAGAAGCACAAAGGAGAGGCATGAAGCATCCCAGGGCAGGAAGGAAGGGCCCTGCCTACGTGGCAGAGGCTGCCATAGCCTGGCAAGAGGGCAGCCCAGAACGTGAGCCCTCCACAATGCACGGGGGGGCGGGGGCGGGGGAGGCTGCTGAAGAACCCTCACCTGGCTATGCTGTGGTGTGTGGTGGATGGCTGTGGTCCCAGTCATCTCCTCTTGCTCATCCTGGTGGGGTCCTGGAAGGCAGGAAGGCCAGCAGGCAGTCAGGCAGGCAGGCAGGTAGGAGCTTCGAGCAGAGGGGGCAGCTTGGAGCTGGGAGCTTGGAGCTGGGGGGGCCAAAGCCCTGAGCCCAGAGAGCTGGGTTCCAGGAACCTGGAGGGAGGGAACCAGCAAGGGGTGAGCAAAGGGTGGGCCAGGGGGCGGCCCAGAAAGTGAGCCCAGCACCACACACCACAAAACATCATGGGGGCCCCCAGGCACAAGGACCCTCACCTTGCTGGCTGTCTGGTGGACAGCTGTTGTATGCCTCAACTCATCGTGGCCCGCATCATCATGGGGTCCTGGAGGGCAGGCAGGCTGGCAGGAGGGAGGAGGTGCATGGTGAGCCAGGATCCAGGAGCTGGGAGTGCCAAGTCCCAGGAACCTGGAGGAAAACATGGAGCCAGTGAAGGCTGAGCCTGGGAGGGCAGCGGGGGAGGCCCAGAACTCCACCCCACCACTATACTCCACTGCACGGGGGGCAGGCGGGCGGCTCAGTCCAGTGACTCTCACCTCACTCGATGCATGGCAGATGGCTGTTGTCCCCATCTCTTCTTGGTCCGCATTGTCATGGGGTCCCAAAAGTCAGGCAGGTAGCCAGGCAAGCAGGCAGAGCTCCTGGGAGAGCTGGGAGCCAGGAGCTGGGCAAGCAAGAGGGGTCCTGGGAACCTGGAGGGGAATGGAGAGAGAAAGCAGCAAGGGGGTGCTCTGGAGGGCAAGCCAGGGTCTGGCTGTGTGGGCCGGTTAACTCCTGCTGTGCAGTGTCTGGTACCTGAGCTTATAAGCCTTGAGCTCTCTCAGGGAGAATGCATGGGAAACCCTGGCAGCCAGGAGTCACTAGATCTGGCCACGCCCGTGCAGACCTGCTAATCCCTCCATCCTGGCTGCAGATCCCTCCACCCTGGCCACTAACCCTTGCATCTCCTCCTGTGGCACCATGCTGCTGTCCCGGAAGTCCCTTTCCCTTTGCTCACTTTCTTGCTCCCTCATTGGCTGAGGAGGAGGACTGGGGTGCAGGATGG